ACACCCATTTGTCTATGCACTGAGAGTCAACATTTCGTTAACCTCTATCACCTTGGACAGACGCTGGGGAATAACTGGGATGTCTTCGTAGGTGAATATCCGACTGCCATGTGCATGCTTATTTCACTACCAGATAAGTAATGCTCAGAAAGCGTTTTTTTGCTGTAATTCTGTTCACAGAGGCATTTGTAATTTGAAGCAGTGTCTAATTTGATTTCACACAGCAGGGGAAAATACAAACATTGAACCCGAAGAGACCAATAGGAAATGCGATCAGTTATTATAGATGTGATGCGTTTGTATCATGTTTATATTCTGAAGGAGTGGGTGAGTGAGTGAGTATGGTTTCACGCCGCTTATGGCATCAGTCCTACAATATCACTGCGGGGACACTAGAAATGGGCTTCACACAATGTAGTCAAGGAGCTTATGGGATTCCGTGAAAGTTTTTTGATGAAAGCAAATCATATATCCTGTTGTGTTTATATGTTAAAGGAGTTTAAAAAAATGTTTGGTTCCAATCCGAATATTAATGCGAAAGCTATATTTAGCTCAAAATCCAAGATGGCCACCAAAATTTAACCGGGAACTGAAAAAGTTGCAAAAACCCGGAGCAGAACAATGGTTTTAACAGCAAATACCATGCATATTTGGTTAAGGAATATATTTCTCATATGCTGTAAGTCACCAGATTGTTTTAGGTTGCTTTTAGTCTTAAATTTACATAAAAGAGTTATATTTAGCTCTAAAAGTCATAATGATGAATAAAAACCCCATTTCTGCACAAAGCATATTTTATATAGAATTAGTACAATATGAAAAAAGAATGTACTTCTTACCCTGTTTATCAACTATAGATGAGGTCTTTACATGACTATGTGATACAGAATATACTCTTCAAAGTAAGAAACGCATAAGCCATTTTCAGAAGAATTTCGTGCGTTAGTTTAAGAGCAATTAAAATTCAAACGTCTATAGACAAAGCCTTTACTGTTGTGTTTCTGTTTACTTGAGTCCACAAGATGGCGTCAAAGTACTTTGTATGGCCACCATTGGCAGCAATTGCTGCTCGGCACCGTCTCGGCAACTGGAAAAGTTGACGAAGTAGCTCTTATCATCGTAGGTGACTTCAATTTCCATTTTGACAACAAGGTTAACCATGACACTAAACGAATACTTAATCTTCTTGAAGTCCACAACTGTGTACAACTTGTGTCAGAGGCAAGCCACAGAGGTGGACACACTCTGGACTGGATAGTTAACCATGTTTCAGACGCGTGTATCAGTTGTGTATCTGTATCTGATCTACATCTCTCTGATCATTTCCATATCTTTGTGAGCTTGGACCTCTCAATACCCACTCCAAATGTGAAGATTCCTCGCTGTAGGAACATGCGCTCCCTGGATAAGGATACTTTTAAAGACAATTTGCTAAACTCAGACCTTATACTTGAGCCACAATATGATGTTGAAAGTCTCGTTCTGCTATACAACAGAGTTCTATCTGAGCTGCTAGACAAACATGCACCAGTGAAGGACAGAGTCATACCAGTCACTAAAACATCTGCTTGGGACTTCACACGTGAAGTTCGACAAGCGAAAAGAGACAAGAGGAAAGCAGAACGCAGATGGAAAAAAATATTTCCTGGAGATTCATCGCCAAATGTATATTTCAGCCATAAAATCACTCAACAACGGTCATCAGCCAAATCAACATCTCAATTCTAAGATTGAAGTCAATGAGTCAAGTCCAAAGTTGCTGTTCAAACTTTTGTTCAGTATCTTGGGTAAACACTGGGAATCGTCACTTCCGACATCTGATGACAATGAAGCAACAACACAGACATTTTCGGAATATTTCTACAAGAAGATCTAAGACATTCATGACAAGATTTCGTCGTCTGTGGCTGTGGCTGAAGCTGATTTTCCTCCAAAAATGTTTGATGGCACACCTCTTACTTATATTGATAGTTTCACTGACACTAAAGTTACTAAACTACTGAAATCTGCAAAAAGAACAACTTGTTCACTTGATCCGATTCCAACTGACCTTCTATATGACTGTCTCGACGTACTTTTTACCAACATTAGTGTGCTGATTATTAACTCTTCTACTTCATCTGGTTATGGCATACGTGTACTCAAGTCAGCTCTAGTTAGGCCACATCTGAAGAAATCAAGCCTTGATTGTGCGGATCCAAAACACTACAGGCCTGTTTCAAACTTAGCATTTATATCCAAGCTCATTGAACGCGCAGTCTCCAGTCGTCTCATGGGCCACCTTTCCTGGCATAACCTCTATGAGGTGTTCCAATTAGCCTACAGAGCACACCACAGCACATAGACGGCTCTGCTGAAGATCCTGAATGCCCCTGCTCACATTACTTGACCTAAGCAGTGCCTTTGACACGATAGATCACCAGAGACTCCTCAAAAGATTTGATACAGAACTTTGAATAAAGGATTCAGCTTTATCAAGGCTGGCACCTTATCTTCAGGACAGGACTCAAACCGTTGTTATTGGTGAGTCTATGTCAACCGCATCTAGGCTTAAGTCCGGAGTCCCTCGAGTATCCGTGCTTGGTCCAATCTTCTTATTATTATTATTATAGGATATTTATATAGCGCACATATCCAGGCAACTAGTGCATGCTCAAGGCGCTGGTATTTTCCCCTCGATCATTGGATGTCAATCTCAACGGCACATCGTATTATCAATCTCAACTCCCTGGGGAGTATACAACTCTTGCAGCCACTAGGCGCACCGAGTTATTGTGGCTTTCTCATCCTAACGAGGTACCCATTCACAGCTGGGTGGACTGGGACACATAGTCACAGTACTTTGTCCAAGTTCACTGCACGTTGCTGTACCCGCAACTAGGTGTTTGCACGTATTCATGTGGCCACCATCTGGTCATATACCAACGGATTCGTGGGTTCTTTTAAGTGCACAGGGATGTGTACTGTACACTAGGGGTTGTGACAACACTGAAAGAGTCTGCACAGAAAGTTGACTCCAAGGTTTTTTACACCCGGTCACAGGTGGGCTCGATCCCGGCACCTCAACCTCGCTGGATCACTAGCCTGGCGTCTTAGCCAGCTCGCCCACCGCGCCCCATGAAAAACCTCACCCTCTATACTGTTCCACTTGGCTCTATTGTAGCACACATGGGTACAATGTGTGAAGCCCATTTCTGGTGTCCCCCCGCCGTGATGTTGCTGGAATATTGCTAAAAGCGGCGTAAAACCAAACTCAGTCAGTCAGTCAGTCTATTGTAGCAGATCACAACCTTGACCACTTAGAACTACGCAGATGACACGCAGCTGTGGAAGTTTTTCAACAAAACACAGAGTCATCTAGAGCGTCTCTCCGTCAGACATCAGATATGCATGGATGTCATCAAATGCCTTGAAATTAAATAAAGGGACAGGCTTGAAAACGCAAGCAATGTGACAATACTAGTGTGTCTGTCTGTGGAGCAACCATTCCACTTTCTTCCACTGTCAAGGATCTGGGTGTTGTCATCGATCAAGATCTCAGTATGACAGAACACGTCAAGTATGTTACTAAAACTTGCTACTTCCATCTTCGCAATATCAGTAAGGCCAGACCGTTCTTACCAAAGATGCCTAAAAAAACTCTCTGCCTGAGCCTAGTCACACCTGGTATGGACTACTGTAACGGCCTTTTGGCCGGATCTCCATCTTGTGTCACTGGCCAACTCCAGTGCATACAGAATTTAGCTGCTCGCATTACTTCCCAGATCTCCAGAAAACAGCACATTACACCAACTCTAAATGACCTCCATTGGCTGCCCGTGACACACAGAATCTCCTTCAAACTCCTCTGTCTCGCATACAAGTGCATGACTAACATGGCTCCAGTCTACCTCTCAGATCTTCTTCAGGCTTATGCACCATCTAGATCTCTGAGATCAGGGAATCAGCACCTTCTTGTTATCCCCAAAGTCAAACAAGCTAAATATGGAGACCGCACCTTCTCCTATGCTGCTGATAAAAAAAGGATTTCTCCCCTACATTTATTTGAATATAATTTTTTTCAAAGATTATGACCATTTTAGAATGATCCGATCCGATGACTTCAAAATTATTTCAAGGGATTTAATTGAGAGAGTGTGAAGCAGAAATAATGTTTTCTTCCCATCATTTCATTATATTCTTGTCTATTTTCAAAGAACTCTGCTTTTAGAAGAAAAAAATTAAACGTATTAATAAGAATTGGATAACGCATAATTTGATATTGACCAACTACATTTTGAAATAAGGACTGCTCCCTTACTGACAGTCTCATCAAACAGAAATGGACATCTCTTTTTAGTTTCATACATACATAACTGTTCTTTCACTTTTATTAATAGCTGGATTTACATTGATTTGATAAACTGAATTAATCATATACTTACAAAATGCTTAAATTTGCCTGATAGCTGCCATTTTGAGATAGGGAGTGTTCATTATTTTCATTTTGCTTTAATTATTTTTTAAATATTTTTTTAAATAGAATATTTCATGAAATGGAGAACACACTTGGATAAAGTTAATAACCTTAAACTTTAAATATTCAACTCTCCCATTATGACCTTCTGGCCTTTTAGCAACCTTTTCCACAACCATTTTGTACAGTGCTCAAAAGTACTATTTGCACCATATTTCAACTTGGAACCAAACTTTTTATTTAACTACAATGTCTGATGAATACAAATAACACAATGTCTTGCTTTCATCACAAAACTTCCACGGGACTTGAAAACTGTACCTATCCTACCACACTAATGTACCCATGTGGGGAATAGAACCAGGGTCTTCGGCGTGACGAGCGAACCCTTTAACCACTCGGCCACCCCACTGCCCTTTGTTCCGAAGGAGTACACACACACGCACGCACACACGCACGCATGGTATAGAACCTGGCCTAATACCCTCCAACCCACTACAAACAAAGTTAGCATATCCACATCCATTGACAAGGGGAATAGCTGTGGTGTTAATACATCCCTTTATTCTGGTTATGATAATGTGTGAGTGACAATGTACGGTGCTGATAGTGAATGTTCCTTGAATATCCGCTTGGACCACTGCTTGGACCACTGCTTGGACCATGGGTTGAACCATGGACTGAACCTCCCCTCAAGGAACGTCCTCCCTCACTTTCTCCCGGGGCCTGTGAGTAAGACGGATATCAACGTTAACACAAAACCTCCATTGTTTGTCACAGGTTTTCCTATCAATTAATCATCTGTTATCAGAATCACCCGTGAAGATCCGGGTTATAATGGATCTCCGGTATCCCACGCTTGTCGTTAAAGGCGACTAACGGGATCAGGTGGTCAGGCTCGCTGACTTGGTTGACACATGTCATCGTATCCTAATTGTGTAGATCGATGCTCATGATATGTTAATCACTGGATTGTCTGGTCCATACTCGATTAGTTACAGACCGCCACCATATAGCTGGAATATTGCAGAGTGCGGCGTAAATCTAAACTCAATCACTCATTCATGGAAAAAATCAAAGATTCAAAGAAGTCTATTTTCGGCAATATATACACCTCAACCTCTTATAATAAAGATTTTAGCACTATTCCAGCAATATAACGGCGGGGGGACGCAATAGATTGACACATTGTACCCATGTGGGGAATCGAACCCGGGCCTTCGGCGTGACGAGTGAACGCTTTAACCACTAGGCTACCCCACCGCCCCACGTCGTTGAAGAACACACATGGTCACTTACAGGCACCAGACAGGTTCTCCCTCACTTCGCTCATGTCTAACATGTCTGTGAAGGTGACGACACTAGGGTGCCTGGGGCAGCTGGCGATAAGTCTGTCGAAACAATCCAGACCCTTAACCAGATCCCTGAAACAGAAAACATTGCGACTGGACATTCTGATCGACGCTGAGTAGTCATTTCAAGCAAAATCGTAGGTGCGATCCATCATCATCATCATCATCATCATCATCATCATCATCATCATCATCATCATCATCCACCACCACCATCACCATACTTCATCCATCATCTATCATTATCATCCATCATCTATCATCATCATCCATCATCTATAGTCATCATCTATTATCTATTATCATCATCATCATCATCATCACCATCACCACCACCACCATCAACACAATATTTCATCCATCATCTATCATCATCATCTATTATCATCATCTATCATCATCATCCATCATCTATTATCATCATCATCATCATCCATCATCATCATCACCACCATCACCATACTCCATCCATCATCTATCATCATCATCATCTATCATCATCATCCATCATATTATCATCATCATTCATCATCTATTATCTATCATCATCATCCATTCATCTATCATCATCCATCATCATCATCATATCATCATTATTATCATCCATCATCATCATCATCTATCATCTATTATCATCCATCATCATTCATCATCATCATCTATCATTATCATTATCATCTATCATCATCCATCATGTCATCATTATCATCATTATCCATCTATCATATCATCATTACATCATCATCTATATCATCATTATCATCATCATCATCATCATCTATTATCATTATCATCTATTATCTATCATCATCATTATCCATATCATATCATCATCATATTATCATCATTATCCATTATCATCATCATCATCCATCATTCTATCTATTATTTATCATCATCATCATCCATCATCTATTATCATCATCCATCATCATCATCCATCATCTATTATCATCATATTATCATCATCTATCACATCATCATCATCATTATCATTATTATCATCATATCATCATCCATCATATTATCTATCATCATTCATCATCATCATCATCTATCATCATCACATCATCATCATCCATCATCTATCATCTATCATATCATCATCATCATCATCTATCATTCATCCATCATCTATTATCATCATCATCTATCATCCATCATACTTATTCCATCATCATCTATCATCATCATTATCATCCATCATTCTATCATCTATCTATCATCATCATCCATCATTCTATCATATCATCATCATCATCATCATCTATCATTATCATCTATCATCATCATCCATCATCATCATCATCTATCATCTATCATCATCATCATCATCATCCATCATCATCATCATCATCATCATCATCCATCATCATCATCTATCATCATCCATCATCATTATCATCCATCATCCATCATCTATCATCATCATCCATCATCATCATCATCATCATCATCATCCATCATCATCTATCATCATCGTCATCATCATCATCATCCATCATCTATCATCATCATCCATCATCTATTATCATCATCATCATCATCGTCCATCACCATACTTCATCCATCATCTATCATCATCATCTATCATTTATCATCATCTATCATCATCATCATCATTATCATCCATCATCTATCATCTATCATCGTCATCCTTCATCCATCTTCATTCATCATTGTCATATATCATCACCATCTCCACCATCACCATCCTTCATCAATCATCATCATCATCATCATCATTCATGTGCACATACATAATACGCTGCCTGCCTAATGGTTGCACAGCCTACTGACCCGCATCTGCTTCTGAGGGAGGAACTCGACGATGCAAACTTTTGCAGCTGCCTGTTGCAGACAAGAAGCTCATCTGCCGGGTCGGCCACGTTGCAGGTGTCGCCTGGGCTGCTGTTGGCGACGGCGACTTAACAGATGAAGAAACGTCAGTTGTAATGGTTGGAGTGAAAACGAACTAAACTGAGGGGAACAGCGTTTTTTTCTTTTGAGATTATCTCTTGCAGTGTCAATAGAGAGTGAGCGAGGTTTAGCGCTGATTTAGGCAGTATTAAAGAACCAGTATTCCAGAAACAAGTTACGCCATCACCTCCACAACATTATGACAGAACAGAAATAGTACGAATGTCTAAAGAAGCCATGTGATTATAATTCACCAAGGGGAAAATAAAGACGATATTGTGATATTTTGCCATATTACTCACCTTCCACAGGACCCTCATCAGGACCAGCATCCGTGCCAGCATTTGGACCTAAGAATGATAAACGATAATACATTGTGATATAACAAATAAAATAAGGATCAACATATTGTTCATCTATGAAATACACAATGCCATATTGTTCATCATCATCATCATCATCATCAGCATCATCCATCACATCCAAAAAGACCTGTCTATCCCAAAGTCATTATAAACATTATCACTACTGCTGCCGCTGCTGCTGCATCTTGCACTACTACTACTACTACTACTACTACTGCTACTACTACTACTACTACTACTACTACTACTACTACTACTACTACTTCTACTGCTACAACTGCTACTGCTACAACATCTTCTTTTTCTTCTTCTTGTACTACTACTACTACTACTACTACTACCACCACAACTGCTAATATGACAACTGCTTCTACTTACACTGCCCATTAATCATCTCTCGTAGATTGTCCACGTTGAGCATACTGTTCATTGCCCTCACGTCTGGTTGGTTGGCACATTTGCCCATGATGTCATCCAGACAGTCGAAGCCAGTGTTAGCCACCCTTGAAACAGACATCAACACGTTTCAGGACCAGCTTGTCCAAATCAAACAAAGTACTAAAATTAATATACTCACCAGCATTGAAAACGCACCAGTCTAAAATCATCCATATTTTCATCAAGATGGACTTCACGCACTAGGCATGATTCAGGTTGGCACCAGCAGCAGGGATATTGCTCGACGACTTGGATGCAGTCACTCCACCATCGTTAGGCTTCAAAGGCGACATCCGCAGACAGAGCACCCGTGACCTTCCACGATCTGGGCAGCAACGTGTCACGTCGCCCTGTCAGGATCGCCATATTATCCGTGACCATATCCGTGATCGAACGCTGACGGCTGCGAGTACTGATGCACTAGTTCAAGGTCGACGTGGGGTCAACAGCGCTGACACCTTGCGACGCCGTCTACGTTATGCTAATGAGCGTGTGGTTCAGACAGACCGTGGTGGTTGGAGTGTCATGGTCTGGGGTGGAAATAAGTTACAATCACAGGACTGCCTTTCATGTCTGTCAAGGAAGAGTTAATGCCCTTTAGTGCCGTGATCAGATTCTTCAGAATCACGTCTTACCATTCTTCAATCACCACCAAGATGTCCATACTTTTCAACAGGACAACGCACGGACACACACTGCTAGACTTTCCACGCAGTATCTGGTCCAGCAACACATCCCGGTAATTCATTGGCCAGCACTGTCGCAAGATGTATCCCCTATTGAGCACTTGCCAGACGAAATTGGTCAACGTCTTTCGCGTCGACAACAGGTGCAAAACATCCGGGAACTTGAGGCTGCACTGCTGCAGGAGTGGAATGCTATATCGCAGATTTCGGACGCTTATTGACTCAATGGGGAGACGTTGCACTGCATGTGTCAATGCAAATGGCGGTCACACGCGATATTGACTTTTCGATTTGACCCCACATGTGTTTCATCCTTTCTGACTGTAAAACAATTAAATGAATGAGCCTCTTTTCTGTATTGTTGTTTTTGTCAGCCGTCCATCTGCTATTATTCACTAAACATTATCAGTTGTTTAGGCGTGCTTTTGTAAATGGTGCGTTTTCAATGCTGGTGAACATAGTTCCCTTTCCAATAGGCAAGCACTAGTTTCCAACGATATGTCACTTCTGGGCTTTGAGGAAAGGGACCATAGCTGGTACCCATTCTTGCTATGGTTTCCATGCTGCTCTTAACCATGACGACTGGTGACATGTTGATATATTATTGTCACTGTACTTCTCAATGTTCGGTCTTATCAAAGGAGGAAAAACGTTGCATGTTAAGAAAAAACAGGTTATGCAAATGTGACGGATTGTATGAAACTCTCGTTGAGATCCCTTTCCCGATTTCAAATGCTACACTCTCCCAACTTTACCCCGTAGCTACCCATCCCAGCATTCACCTTGAGCCCCGCACACACACGCACACACACGCACGCACACACACACACACACACACACACGCGCGCGCGCGCTCTCAAGCGTTGCCTTCCCGCATCCCCCTCTCAGCGTTAATACATTGCCTCCCCATACCAAAGTTGGCCCAAAGGACTTCAAGTCCCAGAGCTGACTTTATCAAACGCTACACTTTTGTTATTTCATGGCCACCCGACCCCAACGTAATTGCCACTTCCCTAAAGCTGCCCTTACCCCCTCCTCAATAATTTCAACGTTTCCCTCAAGCCTCCAAAAAATGCAACTCCAAATTTCCATGTCATTCCCAAACTTTACCTTCTTACAGTTTCCCGAAACCAAATATATTCCCAATGTACCCATCAAACAAACAAACAAAAGTAAATATATGGTTTTGTTCCACCACTGTCGTGGTGTTGAGAACAAACTGATTTCATTTTGATCTACGCCAAAATATTCCTCCCCCAACGTCACACCATCGCTTTCTCAACACCATCCCCAAGCCAACCAACCAACGTCACACCATCGCTTTCTCAACACCATCCCCAAGCCAACCAGCCAACGTTACGTTACTCCCATGTTACCTGACGCTAATCACCCACCTACACATCTCGCTCAGATCATGATTTGGGTTTTGCTTTAAAGATTGCAGGGGCTGGACACAGCTAATGAGTTTCTGACTGTGATCCGACGGGCAATTGGCGTCAACTGAAATGAAGAAAATCACCGCGTCACAGTTCTATCAATGTTTTGGCCAAAATTAGAGGAAGGCCCAAAATATCCTTTTCCATATTTTATCAAATAAGAACGAGGATGGCGCTGACACACGCCACTGAATCACAATCGAGAACAATGGGTATTCGCAGGTATTCTCACCTCCTCAACCTGCTGCTTATGATATGCCAAGTGTTAAACTCTTTAACTAAACTTGCAGCATACCATACACGATTTACAAAATTCCCCAAATATTAATCACGAAGTGTTACATTCACCTTCCAAACCTGCCCCAAATCATACATGAACAGTTATATCCAGCTACACAATCCTCTCTCCTCCCTGCGCCCCCCTTCCCATGGGGACATGGTACAGCCATGTATCACTTATGAAGTATAATACCCACCTCCTGGTCCAGGCTGTAGCGTTCCCGACGTACCTGGGGAAAGAAATAGGAAACAGTCATACAGGTGTATGCTATAAATCATGGGACACTCTTCCTAAGGTACCGACCATGATAGATTCTGATGGGGACTGATATTGTTTTATGAAATGATGCTGCTGAGAAAACTGGAAAATATGCTTTGCCTCCTATTAAATATTTGCCAAACAAATATTTAAAACTCTTCTTTTACAAAGTAATTGTACGTTTTTGTCTCTTACAAAGTTTCCAAAACCCCAAGCATAAATCAACGTCCATAACCCTGCTGCAGACCACTCCGCTCAAATGATATTAAATGGTCGATCCATTATAAAATAACTATGATTCTCTTGCAAATTGTGACGGTGACGTCGATGATCGATGTATGAACATAGTTTTACATGACCACGGTATAATTAATAACAGTATGACTGGTCAGGTATTATACATTGGAACATGTTGAAGCACTGTCTGATAAACGGATATGAAACTCCGATTGAATTTTTTTCAGGTTCATTTGAATTTATTCAACAATTTATAAACGTCATGCACATATTACAATGGAGGTGTCCAGGTTAGAGTATGCCATTTGCTAAGTTGGTTGTCGTAAGAGGCGAATAACGTACCTACATACTAATATTTGTATAGCGCCAATATCCAGCTCAGCTGTTCATAAGCACTTTGTTTTCCCTCGATCATTGGATGTCAATCTCAACGGCGCATCGTATTTTCAATCTCAACTCCCTGGGGTTCATACAGCTCTTGCAGCCATTAGGCGCACCGAGATTTATTGCTGCTTTCCCATCTTTACGAGGTACCCATTCACAGCTGGGTGGACTGGGACACATAGTCACAGTACTTTGTCCAAGTTTACTGCAGGTTGCTAACAGAACCCCGGCCCCGTTTCACAAAGCGATCATAACACAACGCACTCCCATGGTTTAGCACGTACGTGTTACAACTTACGACAGTCGCATCGTTACGACTGCTTCGTAAAATTAGGCCCATGCGGTAATAAAATAGTAGCATATATCCATGCCTAAGTATGCTTCAAGCACAATCACAATCTATTATTACCCCGGATAACCCAAGCTGCCTGTGAAGTGCTAGAAGGTTAATAGTTACATGACTTATCCCACCGGGTGCTCATTTTCTGCTGGGTGAACAGAGGCAATTTTGAAACAAACCCCCTTGCCTGTGGTGAAAACACATGCATCACATGAAGTCCTAGAAACTGTAAGAAGTCAAACACGGTCTCCTTTTCTCAATTGTGTGCACACACAGACCTTTCTCAAAAAGCTTTATCCGCCCCTGCAAAAAATCATGGTCTGCCACTATTCATAACCTTTGAGATTCATTTGCTTACAGGCATTTTAAATCATTACTTCATATAGAAAGTTACCTATTGTTGTTTATCTCTTCCTATTTAAAATCTCTGTTAGCAAAATTCAGGTGCAGCAATTTAGGGTTTGGCACAGAGGTAGGAAGGTATAATAACATACCAATAGCTGAGAGAGCCTGTTTGTACTGTACACTAGATACTAGTAACTGTATTGATGATGAAACACATGTCCTCTTTGATTGTACATTCAATAATGCTACTAGAAATGTTTATTACTCCATTTTTATATAATACAATCAGCAAACAAAACTTAATACAAACCCTTAACAGTAAAGATAGAAATATTATCATAAATGTTTGTAATGTTTTTAAATGTATACATAAAACTAGAGCTGCAATTGTCAAAGCATAAACCTGTAACCTTTTATGTGCGCTTGTTTCAACTTTGTAATTTATTGGTATTATGGGCCTTTGGCCTTTATACTGAATAATATGTCTGTCTGTCTGTCTGATAATCAATGGTTTGTCTGTTCCATTAATTACAAACTGCCGTCATATAGTTGGACAATTGCTGTGTCGGCGTTAGCAAAAAACTAACATTAAAAATGTTATAAAAAGGATCTGAATAAACCATAATTCTCAATAACTGCTGGGGTATCTGTGTAATAATAGTAATAATAACATGTGCATTTATAATGCGCTAAACTCCATACACTAGGTGTATGCTCACAGCGCTAACAATGTAAACATAGCACATTATTACCCCGGATAACCCAAGCTGACTGTTAGGCGCTAGAAGGTTACTAATAGTCACAAGACCTATCCCACCGGGTACCCATTTGTCTACTGGGTAAACAGAGGCAAATATATCAATTAAACTAACGTGCAGCCTGTGAGTCCAGGCAAGGAGTACTTACAGATGTCGTTGATCATGGTCCTGAGTCCGTCCATGTTCAGGACATTCTTAAAGGCCTGGACGTGAGGCGTGTGTCTGCACGCATTCAGAACATCGTCCACACAGTCAAGGGCAGCGTTTGCAGAACTAGTAAAGAAATAATACTCGTTTAAGTGATAAGATCATCAGAGACTAAATTCACCGACGTTCTGTCAAATCACTTTGAGGCACCAACTTTTGTGCACTTAGTTAGACATTATCTACCTCGAACGACGTCTGAGCACCAACGCTGACGTGCTAACTAGTTCAGGAGAATCTCCCAAATAACAAACAGAATGAAGCTTATAAACGTGAGAGGAGACACATGGCAGAATGGAAAATCTAGACTGATGTTTAGTCTTTGAATATTTATAATTTTGATAGGAACAAAATATTCCATTTAAATCGAAAAGGAGCCCCAGTGAGAAGGGAGATTCAGGTTGCTTCGTGTAGGGCTTTAGCTTTGCAGAAACGGCTGGACGGAAGTGAAAATAATGCGGTTCATCGACTGTGAGGCACACTAGAACTGAATTTAGTCTTACGCAGCTTTTAGCAATATTCCAGCAATATCACGGCGGGGGACACCAAAAATAAGCTTCACACATTGTGCCCATGTCAGGAATCGAACCAGGGTTTTCAGCGTGACGAGTGAACGCCTTAACCACTAGGCTACCCCACCGCACCAAGGTATACTAGAAATCTCCCGAGTTGCTAGCCAAGGCCATTGTGTGTCTTGTCAACAAACTTTAATCGATGTTTGCACTTTTGAAACATTCTATAGATTAAAAGTCCAATTGGTTACTTAGTTACCGCATTAATTCCACATTTTATATAAAAAAAACCCCATTAGAACTGGCAGTCCTTCACTCTGAATCTTGCCCCTGTGCTTGAAACAGCCCTGACGACACCTATCGTGGTTAGCGTGCACCCTTTGTTTTCACATGCTTTCCAATGCTGGCTAAACGTCGAGCATGGCGTCTGTTGTGTACTTGCCCGCAAACTTCAGCGTTGACCTCCTGCGGGTTCAGTTTCTCCAAAGGTTTCACGCAGGTCTGCATTCTGTGTTCATAGTCTGCTGGACACTCACTGTCCCCTGAGAAAGAAAATGAGCAAGGTTGAAAACAATTAGAGAACCGTGGTGTTTGTGTTTGCGCGTGTGTGTGCGTGCATGTGTGTATGTTTCGACATATGTGCTTGTGTGGGCCTGACCTCATATCGCCTACACCTAATTTCGCCTACAGCCTTATCAAAACAAATTTAGGGTTGACTTCACATCACGTAAATGCTGTTTTACCTTTAGAAAAGTAGACTCTTCCACTAGTGAGGTATACTTCCATTAATGAAAATATGCTCTTGCACTGATGATTTATACTTTAATAAGGTCATTTATATAGCAAGTTACCAAAAATACCAATATCATCACCATGATCAGTCACACAAGTCAATCACATACATCATCATCATCATCATCATCATCATCAGTGATACGTAATTCAGTCACAGAACAATTAATGTAATTTCATTAAGTGTCCAACTTTATCTAGAAACTGCATCACAGTTTTCGTCCAGTTGCAAGGTGTAGCTTAAGTCTCTCAATTCGCTCTGTCAATACGTGCTCGAGGTTTCGCAGAACCACCAAGACCTGTCTGTCGTCTTGATCGTTTATCTGCTGTCTCAATCTTAATAATAATGATAATAATAATTGATTTATAGAGCGCCTATTTCCAAGATATTGCTCAATGGCGCTATAAAGAGAAAAGATTGTAGACATTGTCTATGGAAAAAAGAATTTGAACGGATGAGTTTTGAGGGCAGTTTTGAAAGCGTCAGCAGATTCTATTTCTTTTAGGGCGAGTGGTAGAATGTTCCAGAGATGGGGGGGCTGCAGCAGAGAACGCTCTTGATCCCATGGCTGTTTTGACGTGAGGCTGTGTAAGCAGTAGGGAGTTTGACGAGCGGAGCAATCGGCTTGGAACATGGAGATGAATGAGGCTTTTAAGATATTGAGAAAACATGTTTTCATAGATGCAGCTGTGTGTAAGTAGAAGAATCTTCTTGATTTCTTTTATGAATTGATAAATGTTGGGATGTGACCGGGCATTCTCTTCTTCCATCCAGGTGGCTGCGGAGCGAGGTCAAGTGTTCTCGTGCTGGTTCCAGATATTACTGGGAAATCTGGCGTCGCCTTCTACCAAGGTACTGTTTACATAGTCGTTGAATGTAGAATCTGTTGACCATCCGGACCTTGCTCCATAACTTCAACCCAAGCATCTTGGACGTGATCCAGTGGCAGTAGTGGTAAAGCTGCAGCTCGTCGGACTAGGCTCTGTACTGCAGGATTGATCATGTATTCTCGCACAAGACCCCTGTCAGCAACTTGACAGATAAGCATAATGTGATTTCGGATGTACGGGTGTAATTGATAATTTGGTGCCTTTTTTGTGATGATTACAGGTTTAACTTACACCGCAACAATATTCCTATATCTAAATAAACATACACTTATCGACCATATAAAGAGTACATTTTCCCCATCAAGCCATATATTGTAAAGTGTCGAACAGTTTGGAGGTGGACATTTGGGTACATAAAGCACCAAGCAGTATCCTTGCAGGGAACTGGGAGACACTAATTAGGGTGGTTATTGCGTTATCGCGAACACCCGGTACACTGATATTCAATGAACATGGTTTTCAACGGCATTGTCTTTGTAATGTCAAATACTTAAGACTGGTTATAGACAGGCATTGGCGTTTTAAGCGGTAATGCTGTTAAACGTTCATATTGAAATGTAGTCAAACCGTCATACATGCTTTGTAATTCAGTCAAACGGTCATACACACATTGTGCTGGAGTCAAACGTTCAAACACACATTGAAATGTAGTCCAGCGTAAATACCAGCGCCTTGAGCATGCATTGGTTGCCTGGATATGTGCGCTATATAAATATCCTATAATAATAGTCAAACCGTCATACATGCTTTGTAATGCAGTCAAACGGTCATACACACATTGTGACAGCATTGGTCGACAACCTTCCATATTGCAGATTCCTTTAACAATTAACTATAACTACATGCTAAGGCGCAAGTTGGTTAGGGTGTAATTATCACACACAACTATGTCGTTATCTAGGCCTGGCAAATGCACTAACTATAATGTCAGCCGCGATAAAGTACAAGTCTCATATGACCTTTCAGGCGGGGAATATATATTTATCACTTAATACAGTAATAATTTCCCCGTATATGCATTGTTTTGCTACCCGGATATTGGCGAAATCGTTGGATCCATATCTGGACCCGGCAAGATAACCCATATCTTCCCTGCTCCGAGCGGGAAAGATAACCGATATCTGACCCTCAATTTTGTGTGCGAAGTCATGGAATAATAAAATGACTTGCAAGATTTACTTGCAAACGTATCCGACGCCCGGTAAGCGACACAGACGATGAATGAAAGTGTGCAAATGACATTCTACAGTTGTTGAATTAATGTTGGCGTTTTTTTAGTGTCAGATTGAAATATGTTTGTAGAGTTTAAACGGTTTAAAAAATTATAGATTATTGCTTGGTTAATATTAAGTGATAAAAATATTATGACCCTCCCTTTTCCATATCTGGCCCTGTATCATCCCTCGACACATACCAGACCTCGGCCAAGGTCAGATATTGGCGTCTTGGGATGATACGGGGCAAGATATGGAAAAGGGAGGGTGGTAATCGCTACATATTTTGTGCCATTCGAGAGTTTGGGATATTACCCCGGATAACTCAAGCTGCCTGTCCATGACATTATGACAGAACAGAAATAGTATTAGCAATAAACCAGCAATGTGATTATAATTTATCCAGCAGAAAATTGAAGAGAGAGTGATGCTATGCCACAGCACTCACCTTCCTCGGGACCTTCATCAGAACCAGCATCAGGACCATCAGTAGGACCGACATCAGGACCACTAGTAGGACCAACACCAGTACCTGCTCCAGGGCCTACACAACAGTATTGATATTTCTATTTTGTTTGAACAGAAAGAGTCGAGATCTTACTGTGGACTGTTCACAAGTTCCCAATATTACTCAGGCCTTTTCATGGATGTATTTCAGTGTCACCCGAGCCGAAAATTTTCTTCCCGAGGAGGACGTTAATACACTTTTGATTGTTTGTTTCTTGTTTAACGTCGCAGTCAACAATATTCCAGCTATATGGCGGCGGTATGTAAATAATCAAGTCCGGATCAAACAATCCAGTGATCAACAACAGGGGCATCTATCTTCGCTGCTGGGATTCGATGACCAGCCATGACAGCGAGCCTGACTACCCGTTCCCGTTAGTCGCCTCTTACGACAAGCATGGGTTGCTGAAAACAAATTCTAACCCGGATCTTCACGGGTCAATGTACTTTTGAGGTGTGGTGTACTTTCATGTAATGTTCTTTTTAACTGTCTTATTTTACAGTTCACACTGTAATACTCACACAATCCACAAGTCAAGTGGACAAATATTGGTTAAGTTGAATGCCAAACAAACGAATACTGACATATCTGAGCCACAGAGCTCCTCGTCTGGTCCATATTCAGCATTCCAGTCAGTTGGGCAATCTCTGGACGGTCACTGCATGCCTCCACGTAGTCATCCACACAGTCCAAGGAAGTTGTCACTGAGCTGAAACAAGGAGCGACATGAACTTATACACAGATCATCATCATCGTCATCATCATCATCACTATCGTCGTCGTCATCATCATCATCATCATCATCATCATAATCATCACCGTCGTCATCATATCGTCCTCGTCATCATCATAATCATTTAAGGATTTCAAGAGGGTTATCATTTCATGGAGTTTTCGTAACGTGTCCCGAAATAATGGCCAACTGATACCAGTTGCTGCATCAACCGTCCCCACTCACCTGCATGACTCAGTTAAATCTGCCGCCCCTGATCCTATACTCGTCATCGCGTTGCCCATGTCTTCGGCACATCTCTGAATTCGTGACATGAAGTCTGCAGGACACACTTCCACCTCCTCCTCTTCTTCGTCTTCTCCTTCTTCTCCCAACTCCCCAGTCTGTGGCTCCCCTGTAGGCTCTTCAGGCAACGCATTTGTCTCAACACCTGCAACAGATCAGTATCATAAAGATTGGAGACGAGAGTAGACCTCCTCTTCAAAAGGTTTCATTTATTCTGTGTTTAAGCAGTTACATGTCACTGAACCACACCTTTTTGTACACAATGTCATCTATGTACTAATATTCGTAGTACTATTATTACTTCCCACGCAGTCTCACTAAACACATTCCCTGTCTGTATATATTTACATATGTATGTATACACCTCCTTACTGTATTGCATTTTGTGACATGTGACTGTTCTGCCTGTTCTGATTCACAGCAAATTGGAAGTCGTCCAAATTCTTTGCACAGATCATTGGCTCCATCTACAGACCATTCTCACCACTCTCAGATCATTCGCTTCAGATGAAAACTATTCACTCCACTCACAGACCGTTCTGTCTTTTCACAGACTTACAGACTTGCAAAAGGTGTCGGCGTAATGTTCCGATATGATTGTTCCTATCGTCGAGCAGATGAGGACATCGCTGCATGGTTTTACTCAGACAATTCATCGTTCTTCTAACTTTGCTGTAAACATTAAACATTCGTTAAAATATCTGGCAAATAGAGTTGTGTACAAAGAACATAAAGACAAGATACAGATAGTTAATGCAAATGTAACCATGACACTCATGTCTATTTGCGTCAGGTGTTGGGGTATATGATATATTCACTCAGTTCCTAGCAAAACAAATAGATAAAACAACAAAGATTTGCTGGTGTCTTTTTCTTCATCACGGCAAGATATTTACTGGCATTTTATGGTCGATCGGCCCACAAATCTCTGCAGTCTATTAGCGCATCTTGCTATTCTATTAGCATCATTAGGGGAACATCGGGAACGAGGAGCAGCATCCGTTGCCGGAGCATCTGTCTCAGGAGCTTCTGTTTCAAGAGCATCTATCTCAGGAGCATCTGTTTCAGGAGCATCTGTCTCAGGAGCATCTATTTCAGGAGCATCTGTCTCAGGAGTATCTGTCTCAGGAGCATCTGTTTCAGGAGCTTCTGTTTGCACATCTGGACCTGAATATAATCGACGGATTAAAAATACCATCAAACAATAGCGTAATGTAATGTCTTAAAAACAGAACTGAAAAAGGAAACTGGTCCTGGGCTGGTCCTGCATAACATGGTATTGCTCGACGGCTCCGTTCACAGAAAGGAATACGTGTTTTGACAGTGATCATTTTCCTACATCTGCCGATTATATTGGTCTATATGAGTGTAAAGATGTGAAAAGATATTGAAGTCATTTCTAACATGGACAAGCCAATCAGTCGAGTGTAATACTCTCGGTTGTCAGTACATCATAAAGACCATTCTCTAAAGTTCCCTTGATAATAAGACCAGAGGACCCAGGACCAGCAACCTTCTCACAACGAAAACCTTTCGTTTTCCTCCTCGTCATGCACATCTCTGCACCTAACTCTCCTCATCTGTTCATCTTAAGGTGCGTTCAACCGGTGCTGCTTCAAGCATGCAACACAGTTGCAACATCAGAATACCCTTGTCGTTACGATTTAAAACTGCATACAGGTTGCGCACGACTTGTAAGACATAAAATATGTCCTAATTACCACTACAAGTCACAAGCTCTCCACTAATCAAAGCGCTTAGATCTATGTCCACCTCAGAGTGGCATCTCTTTGTCTGTGTTGCACGAAATGTCAAAACAACCAAAGATCTTTTAAGTGTCAATTATCAGTTAATTATTGAATTTTTAAAAGAAATAGAATTGTTACATATATTTTTATATGTTTTGTAAATAGACAAAAGTTTTATAATCGGTAGGTTAGATTACCAACTGAGATTGTTCAGGGCTGTATCCTTAAAGGGGGTTAAAGCACTGTAAACTTATTGTCCTCCTGAGAGGGTACGTAAGTTCCAAAGCTTTCAAAGTAAATTCAAACTTACCAGGATTTTTTAAAATGGCTTCATCATGTGGAAAAGAGAAGCCAGTGTGAGGATAGAGAATCATGTATACAAGTTTGAGATGTTTGTACAGTACAATAGGGCATAAGGAAGGCAGTAACAATAACGACATATGTAGACAGAAACGTTAACAAATGAAGCCTGCAGTATAAGGAAAGGGATAGTGAAGCCTGTAGTAGACATAGAGGGGGGATTATCAATGACAAGGAATTTGGTGGTATGCTGGAGACATCTAATGACCCTACTCACGCTTGATTGATGGTTTCATCACCTATTGTACTGTACTAACATCTCCTCAGACTTGTATGATTCTCTATCCTCTGCTGGCTTTTCTTTTTCTCCTGATGAATCCATGTTTTCATGGCTTGTGTGAGAATTTCGCATGATAAGAGTTGTATGCGACCAAAACCTATATTATTACTGCAACTCCAAGGCTAGAAGTTGTTGCTTAAGAGGCTGCTAACGGGATCCGATGGTCAGGCTCGCTGACTTGGTTGACACGTGTCATCGGTTCCCTATTGCGTAGATTGATGCTCATGATGTTGACCACTGGGTCGTCTGGTCCAGACTGGATAATTTACTTACAGCCGCCATGTAGCTGGAATTTGGCTGAGTGCGGCGTTAAACAACAAACCAACCAACTAAAGGTTGTTGCTGCAAGTCGAACCTGGAAAACTCACTTTAACAGATGGTCCTGCATGTTTTCGCAAATGATACTGTTGGAGTGTTCCCCTACACCAACATTCGTGCATGTATAAATGAGCTCTTGGTGATAAAGGCCTGAGTGACTTGGAACATAGGCAGGTGTTCGACCACGTATACAGGTGACAGTGTTCCGGCAATAGCCACGTGTTTGTTCATGTGTACATGAAACAGTTTGTCCACGCGTACAAGCTACACACGTGAAACGGTAGTGCTATCCGGCTCGTCGTACACTTGTACATGTATGTGAATGCGAACATGTAGCTCAAAGCTAATTGGGTCTGTTTTCATTACAATGTAAGGAAATGAAGCCTGTTTGAGACGATATTGATTCTAAATACTTACATTGTTGGTTGATTGTATTCTCCATCATTTCCATTTGTCCAGCCATATGTACACTCAACTGTGGACAGTCTCCCAAAACCCTTTGCATGCAAATAAGAGTCTTCCTGGCCTCTCTGTAAACAGACAAACAATATAACTGTTAATTTGAAATATTATCACTGGACTGTACGAAAAGGAGTCTCTTTTTATGAAAGGAAAACATCGAAGAAGGGGACCAGGGATTTTATATTAAGGGTGCCCAGGTAAATTGGAGGAATGAATGGATTATGTACAGAGGAGTCCGTGGTTTATTATAGACGAGTCCTTGGATTATTACAAGGTAGTCCAAGGATCATGTACAGAGGATCCCAAGGATTGTGTACAGAGGAGTCCATAGACTATTACAGAGGAGTCCAAGGGTAATGTACAGAGGATACCATGGATTGTGTACAGAGGAGTCCATGGATTCTTACAGAGAATTCCTTGGGTAATTACAGAGGAGTCCAAGGATCATGTATAGAGGACCCCATGGGTTGTGTACAGAGGAGTCCGTGGATTATTACAGAGGAGTCCTTGGATATCAGTCTGAGTGAGTAAGTGGGTATGGTTTTACGCCGCTTTAAGCAATATTCCAGCAATATCAAGGGACCCCAGAAATGGGCTTCACACATTGTACCCATGTGGGGAATCGAACCCGGGCGTTCTGCGTGACGAGAGAACGCTTTACCCACTAGGCTACCCCACCTCCTCTCTTGGATCAACAAACCATTCCAAAAGTACTTTGGGCAAAAATCTCTCTTAAATATTCTCTTGTTGGGTTGTGTAGTTTTGTCGAAAAATATGCCATATGCCTGTCAGTTGATCACCTTTGTTGCAAACACATGGTCTCAGCAGTATTTGATTGTCATTTATAAACAGATGCTCATGATAAAGCTGAACTCGCAATTTTAACTTGACTACGCTTTCATGTTCTTGTCGTTCTTATTTCCAGATCTTGTAGGCAAAACTCAAAACTTCAAATACAATAAACGTTTGCACATAGTCCATAAGTTATTGAATGATAAACAACATTCCACGTTTAGAGCCTTCAACACAGCAGATGGACCTTGTCCACCATTGGGTACAATGTGTGAAGCCCATTTCTGGTGTCCCCCGCCGTGATATTGCTGGAATATTGCTAAAAGCGGCGTAAAACTAAACTCACTCACTCACCCAAACCTTTCCGTCACACGCACCTGCAGACGTCGCTCACTGCTCCCTCACTCCCTATAATGTTCAGTTTCCTGCTACATGTCGCCATCTCCATCGCAGCATTCTGCATACATTCTTGACCACGACTCACGCTGACTGGAACAGAAGACACACTAAATACGTGAAGAGATGAAAGAGTAACGTTGAAGGCACAATTTCACACGTTTTCGACAATATTTTGCCTATATTATATATATATTGGCGCATATACGCCAACTTTAGCTTCATATTGATGCAATAAAAGACTTATTATACCTTACGACTTGCCTGAAATCGATAATCGAAACGTCCAGGCGAACAGCTTCCAAACAGAGAACACTTGCCATATACATCGAAAACTGTCGCACGCGTTGTTGTCGGTGTTTGCCGAACTGGTTTCAATCACATGTTGCACGTATGTTTTTGTGCCACATATTAGAGTCATTTTGTCTAGGACTGGGTTCTGTCTCCAGAGGAATTACATAATATTCGTTAAGAGCGCTCCAAGGGACATCCCTCTATAGGGTTAGCTTGAAATAATAGTCGACCGGAAGACCGCGGGAGAGTCGATTTAATGCAGCGTAGCATTATTTCATTCGAACTGTTTAATGCAATATTGTAATTTCAAACGAATTTCTTTAAAAATGAAATATATGGTAGCTTCCCTGAGGGCTGATAGCTATTATTATTGAGAGAAATGCATTATGTATTTACAGAGAAGTGTGGTGTGAAATAGTGCTTTTAATGAATTAACGAGTATAAATCATGCATTTTTAATAATATCAGATTTTTTTTTATGTCTAATTTTGTTTCTGTTTTTGCCCATGTCATATTAAAGCCCAGTCTCGGGAGGGTTCAGCATCCATGTCAATAGCGTATTTCATCGACTTTTTAACATCTGACTTAAGCTCTATTATCTTTATCAAGCAAGGGAACAGGATATCCTTATATCATAGCTAAAATTCTCCCTTCGCAGATTTCAACAAAAATCAACAAACATTTTGACGTATTATGGAATAGTGAATGAGTGAGTTGGATTTTACGTCGCTTTTAGCAATATGCCAGCAATATCACAGCGGGGGACACCAGAAATGGGCTTCACACATTGTACCCATGTGGGGAATCGAACCCGGGTCTTCGGCGTGACGAGCGAACACTTTAACTACTATGCTACCTCAACGCCCCTGATGAACATGGAAAATGTTTTGTCGTTATTGTTTGTCGCGCGAAAGTTGATTTTGTGCATACGTTAGCTTTACAAATGGAGTGCACCCTGAACCATTGACCAGGGTATTGATGATTTATTCTTCTCCTCTTTCACTTCCTATCCTTCTTCATTTAACGAAGTGAAGCTCAAACATATACTGACAGTTCACAGAATTTGATTGACCTGAATGTTGCGTTTTTCATTCGACTAGCCTTAATTCCATAGGACGACAGAATACACGGACATTCCCTTAAAGAGCCCGTAAGTAGGTCACGGCACTTCGCGAGAACTTAGTACTTCCGGTGACAAACAACGTTTCACAACTTATCGAATGGTCTCATGGTTGTGAGTTCACATAACAAACAGGGATAACAAATTTCCGATCTTACCATCCCCAAATAAGTCAACAGCTGCGACAGCCAAACATGGTTGTACACTTGGTCCGGTCTAGTAAAGTCATATTTGGCAATCGCGTAATTTGTAACCAGAACTGGTTCTTGAATTTTCTCTTGTCACCGGAAATCTGGTGCCGGAAGCAAGCTGGGCCCCATCTCGCATATGCAAGTTGGCGCACAAAGGGAGCAGGGAACCAACTTAGTACCGGGAGTAGCGCACAACCTGCATCCGTCAGGATCTGCCATTACACTCTTCACTGTGGACAATATCATGTTGGTAGCAGAGTACGCCCAATGGAACCAAGTGCTGTGTATTGAGCAACCGACTTAAACATCACAAATTATATTCGAAGACAAGTGTGAACTTTGTGAGTGATACAGTACGAACATATTTTGAAAAACCGGCTGCATCAGACTGCTTTGCTGAGAATCTGTTCTTACGCATTTTGCACATCTGATGAAAGTATTGATAAGCATAGCTCTGTTATTAAGGATAACGAACATGACCTTTCCGTCATATCAATTGGGAAAGTGATTGCTTCTGTTAAATAACACTTCCTGCTGTTAACCTTTTTCATGTAACCTCGTATAGGTCGGTCAATTATACGCTGAAATCACCAGTTTAACGACACCAGTTATTGTGAAATACTTCATTCTATGATGAAATTACTTACATATTAATTTCAACGGGCGAATTATGATAAGTGTATCCTAAATAGAAACCCTTACGTGTGTTGGAATGTGTATGAGACAGATTGAAGTAATTCGCGGCCAGAAAAAAGTTTTTTATGTGTCATACATAAAAATATATTTACGGTACTTGATGGTCGCTTTCTGCATTTTTTTGCCTCGGATTTGGAGTAGGGTTGTTGAGTGCTGTAATACGTATATCTTCCTGGTTTTGAAGCATTTTCCACGGACAAATTGCTCCCTTTCTCGACTAGGGAGTCAACTGCTAAAAGCAGGCATGTACTCATTCTCAGGTAATTCGAATTGACAATAAACAAAACCATTAGTTCGTCCTCTCTGCCAGGACATATACACTACTTATTCCATCATCAATACAATGTTCGATAAGATAATGTAACTAATTTTAGAATAGTGATGAGTTCATTTTTCAAATGTATAAATATGAACAATTACAATATACAGGTCTTTCGAAAAACCAAGCAGCCATAGAGGCAAACTGTTCGCCCTTTCCTGTCTTTTTAAAAGTAGCAACAATGCCTCCAAACATGAAATGAAGAATGATGTTAGGCATAGGTACTACTCCAGTGACGTTTTAACAATAAAACTTCCAAATTTGACAATGCATTATCATCAAAGTGTAAAAGCACAACCACGGCCGGTTTTGATGCCATACTTTGACAATTTTACAGACCAAATCCGACTGATTACTATGAAACAAAACTGTGACTCACCCAGCACTGACAGTGCAAAAAAGACGAAGTTGTACAACATTGTTCGGGAGCCTCCAAATGCGCGCACCAAGGGTCTTTCTCTGCTGCTGTGTGAAGACCTGAGTTGGTTTCTACCCTAATTCCTCGCCACAAAGGTCAGTCCTATGTTGCAGTGCTCTATCGTGGCTGACCTTATGATTACTGTATTGGCAGGGTCAGATACCGACATAGTGTACAACAGTGATAATTGCACTCCAACCTACTTGTGCCATACCATATAGTTATAGTTAATTGAATGTGCAATAAAAGCACACATGCATATATGCATACATTTAGAACTGGTCTTCAGCAACCCGTGCTTGGTGACAAGAGGTGACAGATCGGGTGGTCACACTCGCTGACATGTCATCGTATAGCAATTGCATAGAACGATGCTCATGATGTTGATCACTGGATTGTTTGGTGCAGACTCGATTATTTTCAGACCGACGCCTTATAGCTGGGATATTACACATGTATTATTGATGTAAACGGTATTTATTTCTGCTTGAGGTTTCATATTGTGAACTTTATAACTCCTAGTTTTTGATGGAGCTTGCAGAAGAGGGGTCGTATTTGATTATCAGCCAGCACTATCGACAGCCTCACCAAGGACAGGAGAGGTATGAAGTTGCATGAATCAAGGGATCGTGCATGTAAAGATTCATTGAAGCGAATCAACAGAGCCCTCAGTCGTGTTTAGAGGTGTGCAGGGATAGTGTCTGAAGGATAGTCCCAGAAGGAGTTTATCTAAGAGTGTGTGTATGTGAGGTTGTCTGTCGAGGCAGACCCTTGTATGGATATGTCCTGGGATAGTATTAGTGTCTGGAGGATTCCCAGGATAGTTTATCCATGAGTGTTTATATGTAATTGTCTGTTGAGGCTGCCCCTTGCATGGACGTGTCCAGGGATAGTATTAGTGTCTGGAGGATTCCAAGGATACAGGATAGTGTATCCAGGAATGTGTACATGTGACTGTCTATCGAGGCAGTCCCATTCTATGGACGTGTCCAGGGATAGTATTAGTGTGTGAAGGATTCCAAGGATAGTGTATTCAGAAGTGTGACTACATGATGGTCTATCGAGGCTTGACTATGTATTTAGGTGTCCAGAGATAGTATTAATGTCGGAAGGATTCCCAGGACAGTTTATCCATGAGTGTTTATATGTGATTGTCTGTTGAGGCTGCCCCTTGCATGGACGTGTCCAGGGATAGTATTAGTGTCTGGAGGATTCCAAGGATACAGGATAGTGTATCCAGGAATGTGTACATGTGACTGTCTATCGAGGCAGTCCCATTCTATGGACGTGTCCAGGGATAGTATTAGTGTGTGAAGGATTCCAAGGATAGTGTATTCAGAAGTGTGACTACATGATGGTCTATCGAGGCTTGACTATGTATTTAGGTGTCCAGAGATAGTATTAATGTCGGAAGGATTCCCAGGACAGTTTATCCATGAGTGTTTATATGTGATTGTCTGTTGAGGCTGCCCCTTGCATGGACGTGTCCAGGGATAGTATTAGTGTCTGGAGGATTCCAAGGATACAGGATAGTGTATCCAGGAATGTGTACATGTGACTGTCTATCGAGGCAGTCCCATTCTATGGACGTGTCCAGGGATAGTATTAGTGTGTGAAGGATTCCAAGGATAGTGTATTCAGAAGTGTGACTACATGATGGTCTATCGAGGCTTGACTATGTATTTAGGTGTCCAGAGATAGTATTAATGTCGGAAGGATTCCCAGGATAGTTTATCCATGAGTGTTTATATGTGATTGTCTGTTGAGGCTGCCCCTTGCATGGACGTGTCCAGGGATAGTATTAGTGTCTGCAGGATTCCGAGGATAGTTTATCCAGGAATGTGTACATGTGATGGTTTGTCGAGGCAGTCCCATTCTATTGACGTGTCCAGGGATAGTGTTAGTGTCTGGATGATTCCGAGGATAGTTTATCCATGAGTGTTTATATGTGATTGTCTGTTGAGGCTGCCCCTTGCATGGACGTGTCCAGGGATAGTGTTAGTGTTTGGAGGATTCCGAGGATAGTGTGATGGTCTGTCGAGGCAGTTCCTTGTATGGACGTATCAAGGAATGGTATTAAAGCAATCAACACAAAGTGCAGTTTTGTATATAAATCGTGCATTAAACCCTTTACCTCAGAAGTAAATATATTTTCCGCGTTTTCTGCATATGAACTAGGTTTTTAAGAGTTGAAACAATAAGAATAATATTCCTCAAACCACAAATATATACGTAAACGGGTTTATTATTCGTTCCAATGGTTACATTCAGGTATTCATATTGTTGTTACAACGAAGCTGAGCAATGAGTAAACACATCAGTATTGTGGCGGTGGTGTGTGGATATGTGTACAAATAGCCCCTGAGAACCGGTAAAGAGGGAATCATATGAGGTTGAAATTGTTCGTGATATGTTTTTGTTATTCCACTAAAATCCTGAAATATATTTTTATACCATTTAAATGGATGTTTTCATCAACTATTATTGTGGGATTTTCATAATCTATCTGTACTCGTTCCATACAAAATCATGGATACTGAAATTTTAATATTGTTTGATTTTTATTTCATTTTATTTTCGCACATTTTAGGATTATTCTTGTTTCCAAGCATTCCAGTACAAACATTCCCAAATGACAAACACTTCCATTCATCTCTCACGACGTTTCACCTGATGAAGGGACCTGGAATGGTCTCGAAACGTCGTGAGAGAATTTAAAAAGAAGTTTAATCCATAAAAATATCTTGGACATCAATGATCAACTTCTAAATGCCACTGAAAGACACTTCCATCCAAGTCTTTACAGAACAACACAAACATTATCAACTAGTTGCGTCTTAAATATGTTTCTTTCGGTTTAACACTACCATGCAGAAATGTATATTGAAAATCAAGCTGTTTAATCGTTTAAACGAATGCATGACTCTTCCTACTCTTGGCGGTTCTTCCTTCATCGGGATCTATCCGTATCACCAGTGTGTCTTAGTTCATGTACCTTCAGACACGGTTGTCTTAATCATCATCTTCTCACACTCATTATCATACTACATTCCTCAGATGTACATATAGATGTACGATGAAAAGACAACAAACCACAAGAAATCACCATCGTGACCAACGCCTGCAAGAGCTTCAACAGCTGAATTCAGATTCACATAGTAGACATCTCAGGGTGAAGTGAAATAAGAGTCTGAGAAACAGCATTTCTGAACAAATCAAAGCAGTCGTTTCTCCATTATCCATTATACAGGGATAATGGGGAGTGGGGGTCCGACTCTCCACCAGTATACTACAGTTTATACTAAACCTCGTCAGATTTCGTAGTTTAACAATCAACTGTCGTAGGATGCAGGCAGCAGCATCTGACAGCTGTGATTGGATGATTTTGTGTAAGATGTTTGTGTTTTGTAAGTGAACATCCATCCAGTAACTGATCAACATTTAGTGCTGTCTTTTTCAACACAATGACTTAAACTGAATGTGTGCAGAGATATTTTCATTTGGTGCGGAAATGGGTTTGGTGTGTTCAACGTCCTGTACTTAACCTTGCCCCAATTTTTTGTTTGACTTTAAGTCCATACTATGCATACATATACATTTAATAGCTGTTAAGGGCCTGATTAGTTTTACCAATATAACGTTACTAAGAATTTCTATGGGAAAACATTTAGTTTTGTGTAACCGGTGCCTTCGTCGTGTATGATCAAAGTATGCAATTAAATGTCAGATCAAGTATGCGATAAATTGTATGATAAATGTATGCGATCGAATGTATGATCAAAATATGCAATTAATGTATGATAAAGGTATGCTATCAAATGTATGATCAAAGTTTGCGATTAAATGTGTGATCAAAGTATGCCATTAAATGTGCGATCAAAGAATGCCATCAAGTTTATGATCAAAGGAAGCGATTAAATAATTGCTTGGGAGTACAATTTATGGACACCGTCAACTTGAGGAAGATGAAAGAATCTTTAGCTGATTTCGAGCTGGAGTGGAGTTCCCGAGGAAAGCCGTATTTTTCGACCGCAGGGCAATTTAATCCACTCACTTACATAACCACCAAAAAAACTCCCCCCATCTACTTTCACTCACTCACTCACTCTTCCACTCATTCGCTCACCAACTCACCCGCTCACTCACCCACCCATGCAGTCACTGGTCCACCTACACAGTCACCCACCAACTTACCTACTCACTCGGTCACTCATTCAGTCACTCACCGACCCACTCATTTGCCCAACCACTCAGTCGCTCGCCCACCCACCGACTCACTCACCAACTCAATCACCCACCCACTCACTCGCCCATCCATCCACTCACTCGCCTACCCACGCAGTCACTCGCCCACCCACTCACTCACTCCCCCACCCACCCACTCACTCGCCCACCCACACAGTCACTCGCCCACCCACTCACCAACTCACCCACCCACTCACCTACCCATCCACTTGCCCACTCAACCACTCAGACTTTCAACATCACCTGTGATGATCCAGCCACAACAACCTGAGGCGATGAACATATGGACAACCATGGCTGCAACTCTACAAGGGTTGTGACAGTCTAAACTGGTGATATTCCCAGGACGGGCAGAGGAAGCACAACCCTAATCACCGCCTACTCACATGCCAGGCTGAATGTCAGACCCAACACCCCACCACATGGATCCATGATAGTTAACTACCCCCAGTGGAGTAGCAGGTTGAACAGCCGTGCACTGCCAAATACGACATCCATCTGCCAAGGTACGAGTGTATGCAATACATGAGAGAGAGAGTCTTTATTTCCTCCAGACGATTATCCGAAGATCAAACATATTATATACACGTAGATACAAGAAAGGGGTCAAAGTTACAAAATTGATATAGATGTATATACAATTATATTAATCAAGATGAATACATAAAGCTACAATTTACATAAGAACATACATGTATATGTGTATACAATTAATTTATACAAGAAACTTCCGAAAGTGGACATACATCATCATAAATCTGCAGAGATCAATCAGTGTAACATTGTAGGAGATGTCGTCTTATTCGGTAAATGTATAAAGAAAATCGTAAAATGTTTCCCATGTCCCTTGATCAACATTATCATTAAAAACAGTTTCACCTCCAAATAGAAAAGAGAGCATATCGAGTTCATCCTGTGATTCAAAGGCAACATAGGTTTCCATATCAATCATAAACACACAAAAATCGTTTCTCTCAGTGTGAAGTTGTTCACAGTGTAGGAGTATATGAAGGTACGAGTGTATGCAATACATGTACATGTATGAACTATCCCAGCTGTATTACGACCCAGAACCATCTGGAATCCTACGGGGAACATGTACCACGAGGTGGTGAGTGGCCTTGGACGTTCTCGGCAATACATCAAGGATGTGTGATTATTCTGGTTGAACCCTTGTGCCCTATAATTAAATTAAATAAGCTATCAAGTTGTTAGGGTCAATGAGAATTTGATGCATCATCGGTGTGGATCGCTGGTCATGTATACTGGCGGCACGTCTCTACCCACTCACATGCTCCATGTTTTGTTTTGAAGTTTCAGACAATAAGTACGCAGTAAGTCTTTCGTCATTAGGTGATTACAGTTTTCCTTTTTATTTGCGCAGTTTTGAGATGGTATTGTTTTCTCTAGGGAAAAGGTTCAACAGGAATTGGCATATGTACTGAAGTGGCATGGGATCAAGTGACCAAATAACATCATCATTTGACCAAGTCAACAAAGTGCATGCATGCGTCCTTGTTTGTAGGACCGCCTCCATGGTGTAGTGGTTAGAGCGTCCGCCCAGAGAGGGGAAGGTCGTGGGTTCGATTCCCGACCGCCTCATACCAAAAGACTTTCAAATATGGTACTTGTTGGTCCCTGCCTGGCGCTCGGCATTAATGGGTACTACAAGGACTGGTCGGCTCGTAGTCAGTATATTTTGTCTGAGTGGGGTATTCATACTTATCTGCGGCATGGTATATAAGTGAGCTAGCACTTAAACCAGCTTATGTCCGGGCTAGTACAAGCAGCCACACATACACACGCATCCACGTCGTCATATGAGCGAAATATTATTAAGTGTGACGTTAAACCCCATTTCACGTCACCTTTTTATAGTTGCTTGTATATATGCTTGTTTATAGCGCTAGCCAACTGAGATACCATGCTGCAGTTATATTTTTCTTATATATTTGTTGTTTAATGCCACACTCAGCAATATTCAAGGTTTATGGCGGTGGTATGCGAATAATGGAGTCTCTACCAGACAATCCAGTGATCAACATCATGAACATCCCTATACGCAACTGATACGATGGCATGTGTCAACCAAGTGAGCGAGCCTGACCAACAAATCCCGTTAGTCATCTCTTACAAGAATGGGTTGCTGAAGACCAATTCTAACCCGGATCTTCACGGGCCTTTCAACAGAGCGGCCCTATGTAGATTCGTTCTAGAAACTCCCAGTCAACATATCCCTGCTTTATCCTCCGGAAGCAATGGATGAGGCAGGGTAACAAGTAGTAGCATCTTTTAATGTATGCTGCGGTGACGCGACCGGCCGTCACACGACAGATAAACGGAGTGGAATTATTTTATAAAATATATATCATGTTCACATGGAAAGAATCATGGCATCGCTTCTTGCATTTTAAAAAAGAAAATAGCCGTTTTTTAAAAAACGTAACCTGTATTGAGTTTCTAACGACGCAGCTAGGGGTCGAATTCGAGAAGACCTCGGGAAAATCACAATGGCCGTCACATAAGTATTGTCAGATGGTACAACACAAACGGGTATGTCGTACAGTGGGAAAAAATACGGTGAGTGGGTGAGTGAGTGGGTGGGTGGGATGGTGGGTGGGTGAGTGAGTGAGTGAGTGAGTGAGTACAACACAAACAGGTATGTCGTACAGTGGGAAAAGATACACGGAGTGAGTGGGTGGGTGAGTGAGCGAGTGAGAGAGAGCGAGCGAGGAAAGCTAATCCACCTCACATGTACTAACGGACTATGGGACTAACGGAACCTGTGCTACAAGCATGTTATCCAAGCAGGATTTCCATGATCTCTCTGGTTGCTGTCGAGCAAGTTTATACAACAGCAAATAAATATAACAAACAAATCTACATGGGATTAAAAATGTCTAAATCTTCCAGATTAGGAAAGCTAAGTATATAAATATTTATCACATTATAACCAGGAAATTTAGCTTGAACGGATCTTTTAATTTGAGCTTGAAACGGATCTTTTAAGGTCCACATCCCCCTAGCCCTGTTCATTTTCCCAAATCAAACCACTGCCTTCCAACTGAAACACAAAGAAAGCATAATCCTACCATGACATATCTGTAACTCATGTGACATGAATGAGATCTTCATATATACATGGGCGGTGGGGTAGTCTAGTGGTTAAAGCGTTGGCTCGTCACGCCGAAGACCCGGGTTCGAATCCCCACATGGGTACAATGTGTGAAGCCTATTTCTGGTGTCCCCCGTCGTGATGTTGCTGGAATTTTTCTAAAAGCGGCGTAAAACCAAACTCAGTCAGTCAGTCAGTCACATATACATATTTTAATTATGTCCGTAATTTGTATGTAATAAACCTGACACTGAACTAACAGCAGCAGGTTGGCTATGAGTAAAAGAACTGGAGATAAACATGATGTGATCACAGATTCAGCATTGGATGTATGGAAGGGTAAACCTCTCCTGTAACAGTACTCATGTTACATTTGGCTGTCTTAGTAAACATCATATTTGTGGACCATATAAAAAGTATAGCTATTTTCCCCTTAGAGTTACATTCAGTGTCTCGTCAGAAGGTAGATACTAGACTCCAGCGTGGCACTCAGTGAGTGGTTGAGTTTAGTTTTACGCCGCTTTTAGCAATATTCCAGCAATATTCCGACGTGGGACACCAGACAGGGGCTTCACACATTGTACCCATGTGGGAAATCGAACCCGGGTCTTCGGCGTGACGAGCGAACGCTTTAACCACTAGGCTACCTCACCGCCCCTCAGACACTCAGTAAGATAACTTTTCAAGAATTAAGGTCGAGAGTACTGGAATACACTAATACTTGGGCTAACATCCGGGTTAGAATTGGTCGTCTGTAAACCATGCTTGTCGTAAGAGGCGACTAACGGGATCGGGTGGTCAGGCTCACTGACTTGGTTGACACATGTTATCGTGTCCCAATTGCGTGGATCGATGTTCATGCTATTGATCACTGGACTGTCTGGTCCAGCCTCTATTATTTACAGACCGCCGACATAGCTGGAATATTGCTGGGTGCGGCGTTAAACAACCATCAACCTAATTCTAGGTGGATATTCAACACCTGGTGTCGCCACCAGGTAGATACACACACACACACACACACACACACACACACACACATGCACACACATCACTATACTGTAGCATATGTAAGTTGCATGTTCAATCTTACTGTTACAAGATGGTCCCGTATTTTTCAAGTGAATGATTGATGTGCCTGTGCATGTTTTTGTGACGTGTATCATCATTTAGAGAGACCATATCAACCTTTCAGCACCTGTATAATAATTGAAGTGCCTGCGCATGTGTGATTGGTGCCGCCATATTGAGAATAAGTCCACCTTTCAGCACCTGCTATTACCCCTACTTCATAGTGGTTCACGAAGTTCTTAATCACACTTTAATGTTCGAATCATAATATTGGAGGTGTATACATCTTAACTATGACTGGAGCAAAGTGGTGTAGACGGGTTGACGGTGCCGGCGATTAGGTGCCTGATTTAGGGCTTTAGCACTGCAGATAGGGCTTGGCAGTAGGGAAAATAGTATGGTTCAGGGACTGTGAGACAAACTAGTGTAATCCCAAATATAATATATGTGACATTTGTCCACATTCTAAATGCCATTGTATATTCGTATATCGTACGTATTATGCAAGAATCCTTATACTGCATTTAGCAGTCGAGTCTTTTTCAGTTTTCAGTCTGACCATATAGCAAGTTAGAAGATAATTGTGTAATTATTGCAAACCATGTCGGTATCTGGCTCTGTGTATTAACGAATCAAAATGTCATCCACGACAGAGGACAGCAATAACCGGATATGCAGTTGACCTTTCAGACAGGGAATTGGGGTATAAACCAACATAGGTCTTCTCACAGCAGCAGTGTAAGACCCTCCATACACACGGTCTCAAGCTACGGAACAATGCTGTCCAAATTTGTCCTTCTCGCAATTGTGACGCTGGGTGAGTCAAAATTGTATTTCATATCGTTTTTAAATATACATCTACATCACGTGGATCAAATCAAAGATAATGCTATCATCATATTTCACATATTGAAACTGCAGAAATATTGTAAATGTTATTGGACACGTTCCTGTGCCTTGCATTATCGTTACTTGTGAAGGTTTGGACTTCAAACAAAAAGTTGAAAATTGCTTTTCCATTTATGGCAGACAAAGAAAAAAGGGCGAACAAATCTTTTTAACGTAAAAAAGAACATTTCGCTATTTCTTGCATTGTATACAGGGTGAGTTTATGATGCCTTGATTTAAAGAAACCAAGCTTCAATGAAGATCGTTTTATTGCAATTTTTCAATTTTAGACATTTAAAAATGCTTCTGCATTTACTAAAACTACTTTACCTATCCTCTTGACTTAGACAGATTTGTTACTTACCATTTGGTTTAAGAAGTAGATAGTATGCAACTACAAAATCCGATTGCCATTCCTGATGAATGTTCAGATAAGGTTTTGACAAAGGTCTTACAAGGTTTCGTGACGTATTGTCCTTTATGATTGTATATTTGGTCAAATCAAAGACAGATGAAAGGGTAGATTGTGTTGAGTAGATGGCCGCAACGCTGAAGCACATCTTGCACGAGAATTGTCATGGAAGCATGGACACCTATTGATCAGGGGGTCCTTTCACGAAGCAGCCTAAGGTTACCTTAACTCCCATTCTTTAACAGTGTACTGTTCTCTAGGTTACTTTAGTGACTTACGATCACCTTAGATGATAGCAGTTATTGACAACGGGCGTTTTCCCACTCAGCAGCTTATCAGTGGAACATTCTCCCTCAAGAACTACGAACTTCTCCAACCTAATCTTCTTTCCGGTCATCTCTCAAGACTCCGAACACTCCTAATCCTTCTTAGCGCTTTGAGCAAAATATTCATCCTGGAATGGCGCTATATAAGTGGACTATTATTATTATTATTATACTGGACAAAATAAGTTAGGGATATTGGTGTTTTTATGATTGATATTTTATTAGTGTGTCAATGAATAAATAGATCATTATTCATAATTTCAAAATTTACATATATCCCTAACTATTTTTGTCCAGTATATTATACAGCGTGGTGAAAGGAGACCCAGATAACTCGGCGTTCTCCCTTTGCCTTGAACCTAGTCGTGACTTGAATCATTGGGTACATATTGCAGCTACATCGCACAGTGGCCCAATGTGGTTACGGATATAGACTGAGTGTACGGGATCAATTGAATTGATGATTATGTCACTGTGGGAGGATTTACTCAAGGTTTCTGGTGGACAATGCATGTTTGCTGGAGCTGATGTTTACTCAAACAATCGACTTCCTCATCTGGGGAGAAAGGCAGTTGAATATTGCACATGAATAATCTATAATAACGTTTAGTTGCAAAAATGGCACGAAATTATTTGGTGACAACATGTCTAAGATCTGCCCATGACCAGTATGCTTAAACATAGACGTATGTGGGTATTGCAGCAGTCCGACAACGAACCCCCATCCGAGGCAGGGACCCGTGAAAATTCGGGTTAGAAATAGTCTTCAGCAACCCATGCCTGTAAGAGGCGACTAATGGGATCTGTTGGTCAGGCTCGTTGACTTGGGTGACACAAATCATCGTATCCCAATAAGTAGATCGATGCTTCTGTTGTTGATCACTGGATTGTCTGGTCGAGACTCGATGATTTACAGTCCGAATCCATGTACCTGGAATATTGCGTTAAACACGCCGTGTCCCACGCCGTGATATTGCTGGAATATTGCTAAATGCGCCGTAAATATTAAACTCACTCACTCACTCTCTCAAGCTAGGATGTTTATAAATAAAACTAAAAAAAAATTCTGAGCGCAAATAACTTCAGTCACAACGTTCATTCCAACACTTCAGACCTGTTCATGTTCAGATACACTAAAAATGATTTGGAAGTTGGAATAAAAATATTTCGCAATACGTTCAACCAATTTCAACACCGGGTGAGATATTTAACACAGCTGCTGTCGTTATCACTTATAATTTCGTTTTAATATATAACTGACCGACCTATACAGCGGTACATAAAAGGTTAACAGCAGGAAGTGTATATTTGACAAGAGTAATCACTAGCCCAATTGATATGACAAGCTTAAGGTTGAGTTAATCATCCGAATAACAGAATCAGGGACCCTACCCACAATGCGTTCGTAGCATTACGCCATTCGTAAGACCCCGATAAGGCAGGGACGGATACAACTTTTTGAGAAAGGGGGTGGGGGTGGGGGTTTGCACATTATTGAGAAAAGGAGGGTTGCACACTTCATTTTCACTTCAACTTTCAGCCCAAAAGGGTGGGTAGGGTTCGCACCCCTGCATCCCCCTCTGGATCCGCCTATGTAAGGTATGGCATTAGGATAGGTCGTAACGTTACGATAGGTCGTAACGTTACGGATGCTTTGTAGCTCGGGATCCACGGTTATCATTATATTCATTAGATATGCATGTGCAACATTTGTGAAGAAATGTATGAAGCAAACTGTTGTTTCCATTTGAATTTTACTGTATCATTCGGAATCTTCACATCTGTCTTTTTGAATGTATTTTGTGTTAACATGCTTGCTTACTACACAACAGTCGGTTCGACTCGGTTTATTCCGCCGCTTTCGTTATACCTTTGGCCGCAATATTACACGTGAACAGCCAACAGTCCTCACAACAGCACGGCCTTATCGGAAAAAAACGTTATTCTGTGTTTCATCTAAATAGATGTAATGTGATTTGTGGACAGAAGCGAAAGGTTTTGTTTTTTCGTGTGATAGTGACGTGCACTGAACATCACGGTCTTAATAGTATAAACGGTTTAAGTATAGCTGGAATGTCGCTGGAGTTCAGCGTTAAAAAACAAACATTGTTGAGCCCAGACTGAAAAAGTCAACGGATTCTTCACCATACTTCCCACAACATGTTGCCCAATTGTGAAAGTGTCTGTTGTGAATGGGGACATTGACTTACATGTTTCTCGAGCATCCGGCAGATGCTCTATCGAGCACCAATCCGGAAATCTTGATTCCCATGGCAGACCATTGTCACTTGAATTATAAAGGATGTCATCAGTGACACAGTGTGTGGAATATCGTTTTTAGTTTGAAACAACTTCCTCTTGTATGTTGATAATTGGGAGAAGATGACTTTGTAAAATTTGGTCAGATTTGCTGTCAGGTTCCCCTGAACCACCACGAATTGATATCTCCGTGTGTAAGATATGGCTTCCCACATCTTCACACCTCCGGCATCGAAGCTGTCGTACTGGCACGCACTGCGCCTTCCATCTCGGCTGTGGAGAAGAAATCGTGATCCATCACTGAACCAGATTCGTCACCTATTTCTCGGAGTCCATGTCTATACGCTGTTGCTCAATAACATATGTTGGAGATGCAAACGTTTCAGTACATGGATACGGCCTGACCCCAGCTCTCGCTGACGATTCCTGATTGCTTGGTCCGATACCTTCCTCATGTCCTGCAGTTATGGCGGAAGTTGCATGTAGATGACGAAGATTAGTGACCAGTATGTAGTGATCTTGTGCAGGGATGGTGACCCGTGATTGAGGCGGGGGTACCGATCCCAGGAACGATATATGGTATCCAGGTGTACGTTGAAATGACATACAACTGCAGATTGGGATTCTCTAACTTCAAAACGTCCTTCGGCATTGTTAAGACTGGCAGCATTGAGTCGTATCATTTTTCCCACTTCAAAGAAGTCGTCAAACGTTTGACGAAATATTGACTAATGCTATAGTCCTTGTCACTGCACATGGTTGTCACATGTATTCCTCTTTCAATTTCCATTACATAACATTTCCTGTTGTATGAAAATTGCTGTATAAAGCTACACGTTCTTTATGACCGTTTGTGCACTACATCAGTTAATGAACATGTGACTGAGATTATTAAAAATATTTTTCAGATCAGTTGAGATCACACTTGAATAAGAATATATAAGTTCGATGTAACTCATTTGTATAGAATTAGCATTTTACCTCTTTCCAAAACCAGTGTAAAACACAAACAACGTATATTTTCAGCCAGCGTCAGTCAAGGCCAAGCATGTATGCAAAGTGCCGCAATGAGTCTGGGAGGATGTTTTGAACCACTGAGAGCGTATTCCATGGGGAATGTACCAGTCGAGAGGATTTCCAGCTTCTGCAGGTGAGGGTTGGGGTTGGGGTTGGGGTTGGGGTTGGGGGTTGGGTTGGGATAAGGGTTGGAGTTGGGGTTGGGGTTGGAGTTAGGGTTGGGTTGGGATTGGGGTGAGGGTTGGGGTAGGATTGGGATTAGGAATGGGGTTGGGGTTGGGGTTGGGTTTGGGGTTGGGGTTGGGGTTGGAGTTGGGATTGGGTTTGGGGTTTATGGTTGGGGTTGGAGTTGGGGTATGGTTTGGTTGATATTTGGGTTGGGATTGGATTGGGGTTGGGGTTGGGGTTGGGGTTGGGATTGGGGTTGGGGTTGGGTTTGGGGTACCTTGCATGACGTTCCCATCGACAAAGTCGTCCAAGGTAAAGGTGCTCACGTGGACGATAAATTGAAAGTGCGGTGGGGCACCTTGCATGGAGGACCCTTCGACGACCACGTCAAGAGTAGCAGAGCTCACGACACCGAAATAGTATAAAGTGGGGTTTAGGGGTTCCTTGCATGTATAACCTCTCGACAAAGTCATCCAGGGTACCTTGCGGGGTGTATCACATGCTTGATGGACGTGGGATACCTTCTCTTAATGCTGATATAATTCTGTATCTATCTCAGTGTCACATATCTTCCACGCATAGTTTTGCGTCATTGTTTCCTTTGAGAAGAGTTGAAGTGAATCGCAACTGAAAGATGTGAGTCAGGGTATTAATGGAAGTAACACAGCGAAAAAGACGACATGTGGTATTGTGTGAAGGAGTCCGTGGATAAAGTAACGAGGTGTCGAGGGAAAATGTACAGAGTCGAGGGGTGATGTACAGAGGAGTCAAGGGAAAATGTACAGAGGAGTTGAGGGGTGATGTACAGAGTCGAGGGGTGATGTACAGAGGAGTTGAGGGAAAATGTACAGAGGAGTTGAGGGGTGATGTACAGTGGAATCGAGATATAATGTACAGAGGAGTCGAGGGGTGATGTGCAGAGGAGTCGAGGGGTGGTGTACAGTGGAATCGATGGATAATGTACATGGAAGTCCAGGAGTACTGAATGGGAGAGTCCAGGGGAACTGCATGGAGGATTCAAATGACAATTACACGTGAATCAAGTGATAAAATGAGGAGTTGAAGTGAATCGCCATTGAATGATCTGAATTAGAGTGTTAATGAAAGACAACATCCTGTGATATTGTATGAAGGAGTTCGTGGATAAAGATACTAGGTGTCGAGGGATAGTGTACAGAGACAAGGGGTGATGTACAGAGTCGAGGGGTGATGTACAGAGTCGAGGGGTGATGTACAGAAAAGCCCATGGATAATGTACAGAGGAGTCCAGGATAAAGTATGGAGGAGTCGAGGGGTAATGTGCAGAGTCGAGGGGTAATGTACAGAGTCGAGGGGTGATGTACAGAGTCGAGGGGTAATGTACAGAGTCGAGGGGTAATGTACAGAGGAGTCCAGGATAAAGTATGGAGGAGTCGAGGGGTAATGTACAGAGTCGAGGGGTAATGTACAGAGGAGTCCAGGATAAAATATGGAGGAGTCGAGGGGTAATGTGCAAAGGCGTCGAGGGGTAATATACAGAGGAGTCCAGGATATACGTGGAGGAGTCCAAGGATACTGAATGGAGGAGTCCAGGGGAACTGCACGGAGGATTCGAATGGTAATGTACATGGGAGTCCAGGGCTATTGTTCGGAGGATTCCAGGGATAACTTATGCTGGGGATTGTGCATGGAGGACTCCAGTTTTAATGTATGTAGGAGTTGTGAGATAAAGTATGGAGGACTCCAAGTATAATGTATGGAAGAGTCCTTCGATAATGTATAGAGGGGTCCACGTTTTTCTATTTTTAATGTCGATCCAAAGATATTCAGAATTTATTCCATGATTCAAGCAAGTTATAGTTACATAATGTGTATATTTACAGAGATGGCAGCACGGCTGTTAGCTGTATGCACAGGCTGTTTGACGACTGTCCACAACTGAGAGTAGCCATGAGTGGAAATGTGGAAGTAATTGAAAATAACATCAACCAAGCGTGTATGTATATAGAATCAATATAATAATAAGTAGCATTTTTGTTATGCTCTATTTTCACATGCGATTGCTTGAAGCGCAGACAATATGATTATTATTACCCCGGATAACCCAAGCTCCATGTGAGGCGCAAGAAGGTCATTAGTCACATGACTTATCCCACCGGGTACCCACTTTCTGCTGGGTGAACAGAGGCAATTTGGAACAAACTCACTTGCCTAAGGTGAGAACATTTGTATCACATGTGCTTCGTTCTGGGGCAGGACTGAAGTCCAAGAAACTCTGTGGAGTCAAGATGCCAAACGGTCACCCATCCAAGGACTCTCTGCGCCCAACTGATTTGTGGCCTGGGCCCACTTGCACAGAACAATCTTAGTAACAATCAATCTTAGGGCCTTACAATCAACTTTACAATCACCATACAATTGCCCTTATCCACTTGCACAAAGCCAACCTTAGCGCGATTGTAAGACGACATAATGTCGCGATCTTAACTAAGATCGAACTCTTCAACGGTGGAGATACGATTTTCTTAAACTCGACCCCTGTCTACAGTTATCTGCAAGTGCGCATAGCATGCTGCGCAAAAGTGGAACTGGTAACTGCACACATCACATAACTCCCTCAATCGCACCTTGCATTAGAAAAACACTAACTTGAACGCCATTTTGTCACAAACTTCGATGATCTTCAACTGTAAGTTTCGATTGTAACTTACAATGATCTTAGCCTGGAATTGCTAGCCGAAGCCTAAGATTGCGATCTTAAGGATTTGCAATAATTGTTGTAATCAAGTCGGAATGACATAGTTTCAAGCTTTGTACATGCACACACATATCAGCACACGATAACCCTGTCCGTTGACACTCACGTGTTTACATGCACGATCATCAGGGTGAAGGAACGGAGTGACGTAAATACATGCACGAACTGTGTGGAACAGTCACGCGTTTACATGCACGAACGTCCCCGATTCTGGAGGCGTCACGTGTTTACATGCACACGTGTGAGCATATACAGGGGAATACAATAAAACGTAAACATACACACATATCTGTGATGAGGAACATAATCACTTTTATACATGTATATGCGCAAACACATGAGACTGGGTGAGTGAGTTAAGTTTTACGCTGCACTCAGCAATATTCATAGCTAGATGCCAGCAGTCTGTATACAATCGAGTCTGGACCCAACAATCCCGAAGGGGATCGATCAAGGCAAATTAGGATACAATGACATGTGTCAAACAAACATGTGTAGGTGAACAATAAGGTGGATGGCATTAAGAGCAAGAACTTGGTAAACAGGGCGTCTTTTTTGAGGTTGTTGATTCTGAGTCTAAGGAGCCTCTGTGTACCATCGACTGATCGGTTTATCTGTTGAAAAAGGACTTCAAGATATCAGGACATTGGTCTTTTTTAAGTATAGTAACATTTCAGAAACTTCATAGAATTGTCTTTGTGGCGTACTAGAAACTGAGTATTGCACTCAATCTATTGGCTTGTCCATTTCATACATCTTCTCATCCATACATAAATTGTCAGAGTCGGGATAATGACTGTTTCAAAACCAATGACATTTTTCAACCCTGTTCAAGACATTTAATCATGTTAGTGTGTGATGAGTTGTTTAATCTGCTGATCTTATTCAGGTCTGGGTGCGCAAACAGAAGCTCCTCAGACAGATGCTCCTGAAACAGAAGGTCCTCAGACATATGCTCCTGAAACAGAAGCTCCCGAGACAGATGCTCCAGCTACAGATCTCAACATTGTTTCCCAATGTTCCCCTAAGGATGTCCGAAAAATGCAAAGATGCGCCAACAGACTGCAGAAATTTATGGGCAGATCGAATATAAAATGCGGGTAATTATCTTGTCTTAATCCAGAGTCAGTGAGTGGGTATGGTTTTACGCCGCATTTAGCAATATTCCAGCAATATCACGGCGGGGGACACCAGAAATGGGCGTCACACGTTCTACCCATGTGGGGAATCGAACCCGGGTTTCTGCGTGACGACAGCCAACGCTTTAACCACTAGGCTACCTCGCCGCCCGATAATCCAGAAAACATCCACCATCAATTCCATCTCTCTGGGTCTGTTTGTGTTGTTATGAACTGAGTGAATATATCCGACATCCCAACACCTGACGTTAGCCGACATGAGTGGCATTGTTTCATCTTCATGACTTGCCAATGTGCAATCTGTCTGTACTGTCTGCTACAATGTATATTCGCTTGTTATTACTATGAATTTTTAATGTTGACAGTAAAGTGAGAAAAACCATGGATTGTCTGGAAACAACTACCCAACGATGCTCTGATATGATGGGCCCTGCAGAAATGCCTCTCGATACAATACGCCAACAGCTCTTGCAAAACTGTAAGTTTGTGGTCTGTGAGCTAAGAGAATGGTCAACAGGTGATGAGAATGATCTGTAAGTGGTCACAAAGGTCTCTTGTGGTGAGAATGGTCTGTAGTTAGAGTAAATGATGGTTTGAGTGAAATGGTAGTGGAGAAAAATGTTTGTAAGAAGGGACAAGGATCTTTAATCTGTAGTCTTTCAATGGTCTGTAGGTGGTGATGATGATCTAGCAGCGGCGAGAGTGGTCAGTCAGTGATGAAAGTGGTCTGTCGGTAGATACAATGGTCTGTAGTTTGTGAGAATGCTATGTAGATGGAGAGAATGATGTTGAAAGTGAATGGCAGTGGAGACAATTGTCAGTCAGAGGGTAATGATGTAATGGAAAATGTTTGTAAGAGGGGAAAATGATCTGTAATCTGTTGTCTTATAATGGTCTGTAGGTGGCGAGGATGATCTACGAGCGGCGAGAGTGGTCAGTCAGTGATGAAAGTGGTCTGTCGGTAGATACAATGGTCTGTAGTTTGTGAGAATGCTATGTAGATGGAGAGAATGATGGTGAAAGTGAATGGCAGTGGAGACAATTGTCAGTCAGAGGGTAATGATGTAATGGAAAATGTTTGTAAGAGGGGAAAATGATCTGTAATCTGTTGTCTTATAATGGTCTGTAGGTGGCGAGGATGGCCTGTGGGTGTTGACTTGTTGAAGGTGTGAATGAACAGTTAGTGAGGCAAGTGGTCTGTTGGAAGAGGAAATGGTCTACATTCTGTGAGAATGGTCTGTACGTAGACATGTGAGAAACTGAGAGAATAGTCTGAACGTTCAGATAATGTTCTGCGAGTGATAATACTTAGGAGATAAACATCATGTGTTGGCCGATTTCCGGGTGTTATTGAGTATTTGAAGCACGGGAATTCATTTGTAACCGACGGCGTCAGCCGGAGGTTTCAAATGAAATATTCCCGTGCTTCAAATACTCAAAAACACCCGGAAATTGGCCAACACATGATGTTTATCGACATTGTAAACACAAAAGTAAACCAAAAGGTCCACACACGTTTTTCTGTCTGCACTCATTGACATCGAGTACGGGTACAGTAGTGAAATGTCATCAGCCGGCCGTTTCGGCTGTCTCTCATGGTGGCATTTGGAACTGCTCATTTGTGACGTCATTCGGACTTTACGTCACATTATGATTATAATGACGTCATCACAGCTGACGACGTAACAATACAATGGTGTGAGCGATGTTTGTATGTATTAATACGCAGCGAATTTCCGGGAATCGAATACCATTTGATCACGTTTTTCAACCAAAGCGATGGCCCTAATCAGCCACCATACCAATCAGATTAAAGAACACAGTGACTTTTTGTTTACAATATTCTGTAATTGAGTTGAAAGTACATATAATGTGAAAGAGGAACGAATGGTGTGGAATTAGGGTAAATTGCCTATCAATGCAGACAAATGTAAGACGTGAGAATTATATAGATGGGATGATTTCAAAGTGTAGAAAACGGTGTGGAAGTTGGTGAATAACCTTAAATAAAGATAAAAGCAAAACTCGTTTCATATCCATCAGAAATCAGTATCAAATAGTGATGATAACGGGTGTTTTCGAAAAGGGGAGCCAATCATGCCCCACCTTAGACTTTTGCGCCCAATGCAGTCTCTTTTCGCCAGGTAAATCGGGACTGGTTCTTCCCTGGCATTGACTTCTGTTCTGTGTTGTAATATACTGTACAGCTGTAATACTGCTTAAACAAATATATACTCATGATCTAGTCACAATTGTAGAATCGAATCTGCTTTTAGCAGAGATATCTTTTGGAGATGGAAATGCTTTTGTCGCTTCTATTGAATATTGTCTAAATAAATAATAATCAACATAAGGATGTGCACGGAAATGTGATTTTATGATTCGGTTGTTGATTGGTCTGTTGTTGAACGCTGCACTCAGCAATATTCCAGCTATATGGCGGCGGTCTGTAAATAATTGAGTCTTGACCAGACAATCCCGTGATCAACAGCATGAGCATAGATCGACGCAGTTGAGATGACATGTGTCAACCAAGTCAGCGAGCCTGACCACCCGATCCCATTAGTCGCCTTTTGTGACAAGCATGGGTTGCTAAAGACCAAATCTTACCCGGATCTGCACGGGTATGTGATTGTTTTACATGTAAAGGTAGAATACAGCGAAAGTGTTCATGTACTTGCTCCTGCTGTAGGTGTTGAGACAAACCAGCTGCCTGAAGAATATACAGGTGGGCCACAGATTGGGGAGGTGGTAGAAGAAGGTGAAGATGGAGAAGAGGAGGGAGAGGAGGAGGTGGAAGTGTGTCCTGCTGACTTCGCCTCACGGATGCAGAGATGTGTGGAAGACATGAACAGCGTGTTGACGAGGTTTAGATCAGGGGCGGCAGACTTAGCAGAAGCATGCAGGTGAGTGGAGAAGAAGGTTGCCGCAGCAGCGGGTATCAGTTGTCCAACATTTCGGGACATGTTGTGTACTGCTAACACTCTTTGAATCTTATAATAACTATTTCATCACCCCCACCACAATAACTACCTCCACTACCACCTAACTACTACTACTACTACTACTACTACTACTACTACTACTACAACTACCACCTCCACCACTACTGATACTACTACAACCACTACTACAACCACCAGCTCCACCAACACAGTTACTGCTACTACAACTACAACTACTACTACTACTACTACTACAACTACCACCTCCTCCACTACTGATACTACTACAACCAGTACTACAACCACCAGCTCCACCAACACAGTTACTGCTACTACTACTACAACTACTACTACTACTACTACTACTACTACTACAACTACCACCTACACCACTACACCACTACTGATACTACAACAACCACTACTACAACCACCAGCTCCATCAACACAGTTACTGCTACTACTACTACTACAACAACTACTACTACTACTACTACTACTACTACTACAACTACCACCTCCACCACTACTGATACTACTACAACCACTACTACAACCACCAGCTCCATCAACACAGTTACTGCTTCTACTACAACAACAACAACTACTACTACTACTACTACAACTACCACCTCCACCACTACTGATACTACTACAACCAGTACTACAACCACCAGCTCCACCAACACTGCTACTACAACACAGTTACTGCTACTACTACTACAACAACTACTACTACTACTACTACTACTACAACTACCACCTCCACCACTACGGATACTACTACAACCAGTACTACAACAACCAGCTCCGACAACACAGTTACTACTACTACTGCTACTACTACTACTACTACTACAACAACTACTACTACTACTACTACTACCACCACCACTCCATTACCACCTAACTACTACTACTGCAACCATTACTACTACTACCACGATCCTACTACAACCACTTCTACAACCAGCAGCACCAACGCAGTTACTACTACTACTACTACCACCACTACTACAACCATAACTACTACTATCAATACTACCACCACCACAATTATCACCACCACTACTACTATCACTACTAACGCTACAACCACTACCATTACAAAATGTACTCGTTCTTCAACCGGAAATATGGCAAGGGATCTTTAGGTTCAGCAATGCGTTGTTCGTACAAGACAATCTTTAAACCGACTAAATATAATAATGAGAAGTCTTATAATGCGCTAATCTCCACGCAACAAAGCATGCTTAAAGCGCTAACACGGTGATTATTATTACCCCGGATAACCAAAGCTGCCTGTTAGGCGCTAGAAGGTTATAGTCCCATGACTTTATCCAACCGGGTACCCATTTTCTGCTGGGTGAACAGAGGCAATTTTGAACAAACTCACTTGCCTGAGGTGAGAGGACATGTATCACATGTGCTTCGTTGTGGGAGAGGACGGAAGTCCTAGAAACTCTCAGGAGTCAAGCTGTCAAACACGGTCACCCATAATATGTATAACCTACGGTCACGTCTTGCTTGCAGCGCACTGACATCTGCCGTTGACTGTGTGGGTGACTACATGGAGGCTTGCAGTGACCGTCCAGAGGTGGAGCAACTGTCCCGCATGCTGAACATGGAGCAGACGAGGCGCCATATCGCTCAGATTTGTCAGTATACTTTTGTCGCACATTCACCTTAACACATCTTTATCCACTGGACTTGTGAATTGTGGTTGAGGGAAAGAGTGAGTGAGTTTAGGTTTACGCCGCATTTAGCAATATTCCAGCAATATCACAAGAAATGGGCGTCACACATTGCACCCATGTGGGGAATCGAACCCGGGCCTTTGACGTGACGAGCGAACGCTTTAACCACTAAGCTACCCCCACTGCTCGATAATCCAGGTAAAACACCAGCAACTACATCTCTCTAGGTCTACTTGTTTTGTTATGAATTAAGTGAATATATCAGATATCCCAATACCTGACGGTTGCAGACATGAGTGGCACCCGCTAGAAGATCATTGCAAAGAGTGGACCAAAATAAGACAGAGAAAAAACGGCAAAGAAAAATACCATGATTGTTAAAATCGACACAACACCTTAAAATAAAAACTTCCCATAATCATAAGAAACATCTACTGAAAGTATAGTGATTTGTATGATTTCGACTTTATCCTACACCCACATACACCTCAAGGTTTTAAGTATGCGTTACAGACTTCCTTCGGGATAAGAAGGGTTAACATTCTTCAGTTTAATTGTTTATTTTTTACTTTTTGACTTGACGGGAAATATCGCTGCGGTAGGCTCAAACGCTAAACGATACAGCAAGTCTCAGAGTTTTCTTTCACTATTATCAAATTGTGGTGATATATTTCATGTCAAAAGACACTTGGGTGAGATTCTCTATGTATCGCATTGTTTTGCGCACTACGGTGACGTCATCGGTTTTTATTACGTTACAAACAAATGACATCAATCATCGCTTTGCCTTAGCTCCCTTTTAATAATCACGACATTTGGTCATTTAAACTGAAAACGGAGAATGATTTTGAATAAACTAATCTTAACCGAGTGCATTTTATATCATCAGAGACAATACAAGGTCTGATGTAAAAAATGTCGACGATAAACGTCAAAAACCTTTCGCAAGCCAGGCAGTTTTTCTCCTTTCATTCGCGTTAACATACGTGAAAAAAACCCGTGGAAATTATTGAATAAGAAACAGAACTACAGATGTCACTAAAACAGATATCCTTACTGTTGTGTAGGCACTGCGGGAGGTACTGATGCTGGTCCTGATGGAGGTTCTGAAGCAGGAACTGGTCCTGGAGAAGGTGAGAACCGTGCTATAGCATTACTTTGTCGTCATAGGTCTTCATTTTCTGCTATGATATCATCCCATTGGTGCTTAAGATATCATGCTTTTTCGGCTCTGTTATAATGGGAAGCAGGCGACTGCATCACTGTCGCCATGCCTCAATTTTCTGAGCATGATATCGTCCCACTGGTGCTTAAGATATCATGCTATTTCCACTCTGTTGTAATGTCAAGTAGGCGATAGCATCACTCTGTCGCAATGTCTTCATTTTCTGCTAAGCAAGATATCATCCCATGGGTAGTTGGGATATCATGATATTACGGCTCTGTTATAATGTCAAGCAGGCATAGCACCACTCTGTCGTCATGTCTTCATTTTTGCTAAGAATGATATCATCCCATTGGTGGTTTGGATATCATGCTATTTCGGCTCTATCATAATGCCATGCAGGGGATTGTTCAGCTTTGTTGTCGTTTCTCCCTGAACCGTTCACCTCACTCTCTACTGACACCTGGCTATGCATAAGTATGTACTTTAAATGTGGCAGTTTTAAAACACACAACAGTAACTTTGTATAGAATGATATAGAATACAATTTGTTTGAACATATGTCTTCATTTTCTGCTGATCCTGGCATGGTCCCATTGATGGATATGATATCATGCTATTTCCACTCTTTCTTAATGACATGCAGGCAATGGTGGGGCTTTGTTGTTGTTTGCTGAGACGTTAAATCTCACTCTCAAATATCACTTGGTGATGAATAATATGTTCTCTAAATGTGCCTTCTGTACAGCTCACAACATCTTGGAAACAAAACCCATCGGATAAATTTTTAAGACAATATATGGCTGTTGCGATACTTCACTGGGGGCTGACTATATCGTTCAACGCTTGGCTGTGGAATCCTAAAAGGGACATCGTCGCGTTGGCGCATTGTCTCCCTCACAAAAACAAGTTAAAAGTGACAAAATTAACCAAAGTGCGACAATGTGACAATGTTCCTTCTTGGATTCCATACCTGGCTGCTAAGACAGAGACACCTAAGCATGTTATATTGATAATCTAATGTGCATGTGACCGTTTGGCAGTATTGCAGTGTATAAATGAGTAAGTTAATATTTAACGTCACATCGGCAATATCTCACCCATATCGTGACGAAGCAATGTGTGGATTACCGTTTGACAGTATTGCAATGTGTGAATGACCGTTTGGCAGCATTGCAATGTGTGAATGACCGTTTGACAGTATTGCAATGTCTGGATGACCGTTTGACAGTATTGCAATGTGCGAATGACCGTTTGGCAGCATTGCAATGTGTGAATGACCGTTTGGCAGTATTGCAATGTGTGAATGAGCATTTGACAGTATCGCAATGTGTGAATGACCGTTTGGCAGCATTGCAAAGTGTGAATGACCGTTTGACAGTATTGCAATGTCTGGATGACCGTTTGACAGTATTGCAATGTGCGAATGACCGTTTTGCAGCATTGCAATGTGTGAATGACCGTTTGGCAGTATTGCAATGTGTGAATGAGCATTTGACAGTATTGCAATGTGTGAATGACCGTTTGGTAGTATTGCAATGTGTGAAAGACCATTTGACAGTATTGCAATGTGTGAATGACCGTTTGGTAGCAATACGATGTGTGAATGACCGTTTGACAGTATTGCAATGTGTGAATGAACGTTTGACAGAATTGCAATGTGTGAATGACCGTTTGACAGTATTGCAATGTGTGAATGAGCATTTGACAGTATTGCAATGTGTGAATGACCGTTTGACAGTATTGCAATGTGTGAATGACCATTTGACAGTATTGCAATGTGTGAATGAGCATTTGACAGTATTACAATGTGTGAATGACCGTTTGACAGTATTGCAATGTGTGAATGACCATTTGACAGTATTGCAATGTGTGAATGAACGTTTGACAGAATTGCAATGTGTGATTGACCGTTTGACAGTATTGCAATGTGTGAATGAGCATTTGACAGTATTGCAATGTGTGAATGACCGTTTGACAGTATTGCAATGTGTGAATGACCATTTGACAGTATTGCAATGTGTGAATGACCATTTGACAGTATTGCAATGTGTGAATGACCATTTGACAGTATTGCAATGTGTGGATGACCATTTGGCAGTATTGCAATGTGTGAATGACCATTTGACAGTATTGCAATGTGTGAATGAGCATTTGACAGTATTGCAATGTGTGAATGACCATTTGACAGTATTGCAATGTGTGAATGACCATTTGGCAGTATTGCAATGTGTGAATGACCATTTGACAGAATTGCAATGTGTGAATGACCATTTGGCAGTATTGCAATGTGTGAATGACCATTTGACAGAATTGCAATGTGTGAATGACCATTTGACAGTATTGCAATGTGTGAATGACCATTTGACAGTATTGCAATGTGCGAATGACCGTTTGGCAGTATTGCAATGTGTGAATGACCGTTTGGTAGCAATACGATGTGTGAATGACCGTTTGACAGTATTGCAATGTGTGAATGACCATTTGACAGAATTGCAATGTGTGAATGACCATTTGACAGTATTGCAATGTGTGAATGACCATTTGACAGTATTGCAATGTGCGAATGACCGTTTGGCAGTATTGCAATGTGTGAATGACCGTTTGGTAGCAATACGATGTGTGAATGACCGTTTGACAGTATTGCAATGTGTGAATGACCGTTTGACAGTATTGCAATGTGTGAATGAGCATTTGACAGTATTGCAATGTGTGAATGACCATTTGACAGAATTGCAATGTGTGAATGACCATTTGACAGTATTGCAATGTGTGAATGACCATTTGACAGTATTGCAATGTGCGAATGACCGTTTGGCAGTATTGCAATGTGTGAATGACCGTTTGGTAGCAATACGATGTGTGAATGACCGTTTGCCAGTATTGCAATGTGTGAATGACCGTTTGACAGTATTGCAATGTGTGAATGAGCATTTGACAGTATTGCAATGTGTGAATGACCATTTGACAGTATTGCAATGTGTGAATGACCATTTGACAGAATTGCAATGTGTGAATGACCGTTTGACAGTATTGCAATGTGTGAATGACCATTTGACAGTATTGCAATGTGCGAATGACCGTTTGGCAGTATTGCAATGTGCGAATGACCGTTTTGCAGCATTGCAATGTGTGAATGACCGTTTGACAGTATTGCAATGTGTGAATGACCGTTTGACAGAATTGCAATGTGTGAATGACCGTTTGACAGTATTGCAATTTGTGAATGACCATTTGACAGCAATACGATGTGTGAATGACCTTTTGGCAGCATTGCAATTTTTGAATGACCGTTTGCCAGTATTGCAATATGATAATGAGCATTTGACAGTATTGCAATGTGTGGATGCCCGTTTGACAATATTGCAATGTGTGAATGACCATTTTTGCAGCATTACGATGTGTAAATGACCGTTTGACAATATTATCTGACAAAACGGTTTCCATTGGGCGTAAAGGCAAAATACAATAAAATACTTATATGAATAGATCACATAACATCTGTGACAAAATCAGAAGTTCACGAATAAGACAATAACCATCCAGTATTATTGTCTCATGTACTCTCGACCTGGCAGCATATTATACTTGAAGTTTTCTGTTGACGAGACACTGAATATACGCCTTCGGGAAAATGGCTATACTATTTATGTGGTCCGCAGACATTATGTGTACTCAGATATCAGTGTTGAATGGGCACTCTTGCAGGGAAGGTTCTGCAGTACATTAATCCAGTTATCAACAAGTAATCGCATGTTGTTTGCCTCCTCAATTGTTATTTTACTCCTGGTCAACCTGCTGCGGTTAGTTCAGAGTCAAGATGCATTATATTTTCTCCATAAACCACCACCGGTGGTACTGGAGCGAAACGACGTGCAAATATATAATATATGCATTTCAAGATGGCTGTTTGTCTGTATGTCACGATGTGTCACGTTTCTCAACACATTAAACATTATGATGACGCTCCTTGTTCTATATATTATTTCTGAGAAGCTTTTCTTCGCATGTGACCATTTATTAATGACGCCTCGTATTTAGACAGGCATTTCAATTCTTTTACCTTAGTACTGTTAAAGAATTCCGAATACAACTCTCAAATCTCCCCTTCGCTCTCTCCTCTCATACAACCGCCTCCGTGGTGTAGTGGCTAGAGCGTCTGCCCGGAGAGCGGAAGGTCGCGGGTTTGATCCCCGACCGCGTCGTTCAAAAAGACGTTAAAATATGGTACTTGTTGGTCCCTGCCTGGCGCTCGGCATTAATGGGTACAACAAGGACTGGTCGGCTCGGAGTCAGTATAATGTGTCTGAGTGGGGTATTCATGCTTCACTGCAGCATGGTATCTCAGTGGGCTAGCACTATAAAACCAACTTCAGTCTGGGCTAGTACAAGCAGCCACACATACACACGCATACACGTCGTCATATGAGCGAAATATTCTCCAGCACGACGTCAAACCCAATTTCACCTCACCTCTCCTCTCATACACACACGCGCACACACACACACACCACGGTCCTCTTACTACATTAAGCATTGCTCATCTTCTTCTCAGGGGACAGCGAGTGTCCAGCAGATTTTGAGGGCAGAATACAGGCCTGCGTGGCACCAATGCAGGCCATGAACCCGCAAGTCATGGACGATGAAGTTTGCAGGCAAGTAAATAAAATAATGCCAGCCACAATATTTAGCAATGGGTTGATACTCATTTCATTTTCAATAGAAACACGTACTGGTAAAATAGTTCAAATCAATGGCGATCCGATAACAAGGAACAATTAGGAGACTTATCTAAATATCTCAAGACTTAGTGATTTTATTCACGTTTCCTTAAGAAACGCGGACATTTCAGTTAATTTCACTTCTACTCCCATTTGTGCCACGAATATATCTGCAAAGGCATGATTATAATTTTTATTCAAACAGTATGGTGTTTATGCATCATCTTCTAAACTTGGAGATTTGAAGATATGACAGTGATTCCTACATATAGGATGACGTGGTTTTCCGGTAGCTTCAGTAAATATTTGGTTGAGGTTGTGGATAGTTTGCAAGTTTTCAATCTTTTGACTGGTTTTGTAAAGTGTATAGATATGAAACAAAAACACCAACTAAATCAATATTTTAAGATTACCAATTGATTGATCTATTAAATCCCACAGTGTGTATTTATTTCAGCCCGGTATAATGTTCTGATTATACAAATTCATGAGTTGCAATTAACTTGTATCTGTTACACGAGACGAACAATGCAAGAAAGCAATATATTTGGGTTTGTATGAAATTAACTATGTCTAACCACTCAGGGTGAGTGAGTAAGTATGGTTTTCCCCCCCTTTTAGCAATATTGCAGCAATATCATGACGGGGAACACCAGAAATGGGCTTCACACATTATATCCATACATTATTATTATTATACACAGTATACACATTAATCACCCTTACAAGGTAGTTATTTAGATAAACTCAAAATCAGTACAATTTTATTGATTTTAAATAAAAATAATGGCCCTAAGGCAGTTATTCGGTTATGCTAATAAAACACTTCCAAGAACAAGGACATTACTTTCCCTAGTGGTTTAACTATGGGTTAAACTTTCGTCAAAAACTTTTTTCAGGGAGTAAGAAAATGCTAAAAGCGGCGTAAAACCATACTCACCCACTCACTCACTCGTGAAGAGGAACACGATGACGTAAACTAAATGTTTTCATAGTGAGTGAGTTGGGTTTTACGCCGTTTTTAGCAATATTGCAGCAATATCACGACGGGGAACACCAAACGGGCTTCACACATTGTACCCATGTGGGTTGCCATATCTTTCGGTCAATCACCCCATGAATAGGGCCATGATCAAACACCAAATGGCCTGGCTGTCTGTGCGAAATACACATTATGTCGGGGAGCGCACATTAAATCATCATAGTCTTCTGGAAGGATGTCTTCGCACGAAATAGACAGTTTAGTTTTTAGTATTAGGCGAATATCTGTGCACTTTGAAGTTTCTTGTTGTTCTACCTCTGTATGTAAGTGATTACGGTTGAGGATCGGAAAGAAAAGCTAACCGGCGAAAGTCTGACATACATGTATTTATCCAACCCATGAAGATCCGGGTTAGCATTGGTCTTCAGAAACCCATGCTTGTTATAAGATGAGACAAATGGAATCGGGTGGTGCCTTAGTTAACTGATGTCATCGTTCCTCAGTGTTATTTTTGATGACCTTGAAAACCTTTGTTTCATTCATGACCGATGGCTCAGAAGAAGATGTGATTCGATGCTGTTGTCTCGAAAGTACTTTGCTCCAAGCATCATGAAATCGATTCCTTAATGAATATATTTAGGGTTGCTTTGTTAATTTCCAGATGCATATTTATTCTTGTATGGATTGGTAGGTTGGTGGGTTGGTTGGTTGGTGGGTTGGTGGATTGGTGTTTTACGCCACACTCAGCAATATTCCAGCTATATGGCGGCGGTCTGTAAATAGTTGAGTCTGGACCAGACATCCCAGTGATCAACAGCATGAGCATCGATCTAAGCAACTGAGATATGATGACATGTGTCAACCAGGTCAGCGAGCCTGACCACCCGATCCCGTTAGTCTTACGACAAGCATGGGTTACTGAAGGCCAATTGTAACCCGGATCTTTACGGATTGGATTTGTAGGACCAATAAACTAAACTGAACAGAACTGTTAACTTTAACGGGTATTTTGTCTTTACTTTTATAGTGCTGCAAACGATGCCTTAGACTGTTTAGACGATGTCGTGAACGCGTGCAGAAACAACCCTGACGTCCAGGCTTTTACAACCATCATGAATTTGGACTCAGCCCGGCAAATGATCAACGACCTCTGTGAGTACTCCTTGTGTGGACTCTCGCATGTCGCTATGGTGCCGGGCCACTACTTAGGGCAATATTCCAGCAACATCACATCGGGGGACACCAGAAATAGGCTTCACACATTGTACCCATGTCAGAAATCGAAACCGGGTCTTCGGCCTGACGAGCGAAAGCTTTAACCACTAAGCTGCCCGACCGCTCCGTTAGGCCGCTAGTGGCTATGTTTCACACAATGAGACTTCACAAAAGCGATAGGCTACGAAAGTTAAAATCAAGCTGTCTGCGCAAGCGCTACAGCCAGGTGTTGGCGATAACTGGTCGCTAGCTAGTAATTGTTGTATACACTTGCAATATCGGTTGCCGACAGTTTAATCAGGTCCTTCACACATTTCTTACTGTTTGTGTTTGTTTGTTGTTCAACGCAACCACGGCAATATTCAAGATATGTGAAATCAGTTTGTAATAAATAGAATCTGGAACGGACATTCCAGTGATTGATATCATGAGTATCGACCAATGATACAATCACAAGCATGTTAGCATGGCAGATCAACCAGTCCGGTTAGTCGCATTTTACGACATTCAGGGGTAGGCGAAGGCCAGTTCTCCATATGGGTACAATTTGTGAAGCCCATTTCTGGTGTCCCCCGCCGTGATATTGCTAGAATATTGCTAAAAGCGGCGTAAAACTATACTCACTCACTCACTGTAATCCTGCAAACCTCAATGTATGTTCCTCATTGTGTAGTATATGCACATAATAAACAGTGACCCTATCCAATGTTACTTTTTTATCAGTTGCTGAAAGAATGCTGAAAGAATGCAAATAGATTGATTTCGAAACTGACTCACTGTTAAATATCTACAACGGATTCTTTCCATCCAGACCCGTGAAGATCGGGGTCATAACTGATCTTCAGTAACCCATGCTTGTTGTGAGGAGACTAACGGAATCGGGTGGTCAGGCTCGCTGACTTGGTTGACTCCAATATTTACAGACCGCCGCCATATAGCTGGAATATTGCTGAGCGCGTTGTAATACTAACTCACTCACTCACCCATTCTATCCAAATAGCCCCCAATTCTAAATACATAATGACAGGTGTCACCTATTCACACATCGACGTCTGCGACAGGAATTGCAAGGAGAGGGTCGAAATAATCTTCATGAGGGAAGGAATTATTAACCTCCTTTATATTTGTCGGGCTGAGTTGGGAAAGGTGATGGTGTTTTGGGCCAGCACTTCTGATATGTTTTCGTGAACTGCTCCAGAATATAGAGAATTTGTGTATAGGAGCCAAATATTTTGTGTGTATTCCCATCCAAGACTTTTTCCCAGTATTGTCTTGAGTGTTTGGTTTCTCAAAACGTAACTGTCCCTATCTCCATCAGAATCTGTCATGGTCGGTACCTTAGGAAGAGTGTCCCATGATATAGCACACACCTGTATGACTGTTTCCTATTTTTTTTCTCAGGTGAGTCGGGTACGCTACCGCCTGGACCAGGAGGTATGTATAGTTCTTCATTAGTGATAAATGTCTGTACCAGTACGTGAGTATTTTAGTTCATAAGTCGAAGTGTCTGGACCAGGAGGTGTGTATTGTACTTTATAAGTGATAACTGTCTGTACCAGGATGTGAGCATTTTAGTTCATAAGTCGAAGTGTGTGGACCTGCAGGAGGTGTGTATTGTACTTTATAAGTGATAAATGTCTGTGCTAGGGTGTAAGTATTTAAGTCAATAAATCAAACTAGTTATATATATAGCGCCTCTTTCCAGTCTGTGAAAATCTCCTCAAAGGCGCTAAGAGGATCTCTGACACAAAGTTTTCAGTCGATTGACATTTCGAAGAAGTGTGTTTTCAAACTATACTTTGACTAGACTAGTCGCTGAGTGTCTGAATGTTCCTGAGGTTGTCTGGGATTGAATTCCACAGTAAGCCAAAGTGCCTGGACAAGAAGGGTTTTTTTCTGGTTTCATAAGTACAAAGTGCTTCACCAGGCTAGCTATTCTCGAAATTCGTAGCCCTACGAACTTCTTAAGCCCATTCTGAACACATTGGCTACGATCAAAGTTAAGAATTCTTAGTGCTACGAACGTTTCGAGAATAAGATTGGCGTTACAGCTGATATGTAATACGTGTCTGAAACCTTGTCCACAAAGTATTCGTAGCACCATGCTATTTTGAAGTCTATGATAAAGCATAGAGTTACGATGGGTCGTAATGATACGAACACCCTCTGGATCGGGACCCATGGGCATAACAGGTTTTGATGGACGGTAGATGTTGTGGGTGTAACTCATGATATGCTCCTGGGCCCCGATCCACAAAGCATTCGTAACGTTACGACCTGTCGTAACTCTATAGTTTATCATAGGCTTACGAACGTCGTAGCGCTACGAACACTGTGTGGATCGGGGCCTGAAACGCAATGTCACTCATACATAAACGTCGTGTTAAATGACAAGGGGGGACATTTCTGCTCCCGTGTTTCCCAATAGCGCCTTCAGGTGAAATTAAAATGTTTGACACAGACCCAGTACTAGTACTTTTACCGAAGGCACAGTTGAAATGTTGTTAACCGTTGATCTCTGATATAATGGATGCTCTTGGTGAGATAAAATCTTTTGTGATCCTCAGAGACTGAACTGTGCATTCACTCATGAGATGCATGCGTTCTCTGGTTCTTCCTTCCTGACCGTTTTATTTTTTTCAATACTTTCTATGTGTCGTGGTAGGAATGGGTGGTCCTAAATACGGGGAGTTGCACCCCTTAGCTTACCCGGGAATATCTGACAGTGAGTACTTCTTGTCCACAATGTCCCCGATTTTGATCGGAAGGTTGTCAGCGCCTATGCTTGTTTGTGCTTCGAGAAAGAGGCAAAGAACATTTTGGTCTTCCTCTCATTTTGACTATCATTGACTTAACTGTAAATGGGTCTGTGATTTCAGTTGACGCCGATTGCCCGTCGGATCACAGCGCAAAACTCTTGGAGTGTGTTGAACCCCTTCAGAATATCCAGCAAACACCGAATATGAATGTTCAGGAGATGTGTAGGTCGGTACATAGCGACACGTCACTTAGGTGTACCTGGATGTTGGGCGGGTCGAGGGGATGATGTTGTTGCAGCAATAAAGTAACGTGTGTGGAGGGAGGTGTGTGTGTGTGTGTGTGGGGGGGGATTATGATGTGGGGATTGGGAGCCTTTCGGCAACGTTTGGGAGAGATACTGGTGGAATTTGGGAAAGAAAGTCTTGGTAGAAGTTGTATGTTCCATGTTCCCTCCATAAATAATGCCAGCCATGGGGAAGTAAAGGAATGTGGCAAGAATATACTAACACACCACAACACCATAGCATATGGGAAACATACCAAGCATGGGCGCCAGGGTCCCTTTTCTCAAAGCCCAAAAGTAACGCCTCGTTGGAAGCCAGTGCTTGAGTTATGGAAAGGGAAATATGTGGTACTTTTGTTTGATTTGGACAAGCTGGTCCTGAAACGTGTTGATGTCTGTTTCAAGGGTGGCTAACACTGGCTTCGACTGTCTGGATGACATCATGGGCAAATGTGCCAACCAACCGGACGTGAACGCAATGAGCAATATGCTCAACTTCGACCACGTACGGGGCATGCTTCGTGAACAGTGTAAGTTGAACGTTTGTCGTAGTAGACGTAGTTGACGTAGTAGTAGCAGCAGTAGCAGCAGTATTAGTAGCATCAACAGTAGATGTAGTAGAAGTAGTAGCTGCAGTAGCAGTAGCAGTAGCAACAGCAGCTGTTGTGGTAGTAGTAGCCCAAGTATTATTATTAGTAGCAACAGTAGTTGTAGTAGTGAGTGAGTGAGTTTAGTTTTACGCCGCACTCAGCAATATTTCAGCTATATGACGGCGGTCTGTAAATAATCGAGTCTGGACCAGGCAATCCAGTGATCAACACCATGAGCATCGACCCGCGCAATTTGGAACCGATAACATGTGTCAACCAAGCCAGCGAGCCTGACCACCCGATCCCGTTAGTCGCCTCTTACGACAACCATGGGTTACTGAAGACCAATTCTAACCCGGATCTTCACGGGTTGGATAAATATATTTATTACCCACGTGGTCAGCGTATGGGTAGTAGTAGTAGCAGTAGCAGTAGCAGTAGCAGCAGCCTTAGTAGTATTAACGAATATGATAATAATTACAACGATATATGACAATAATTAGAGTCATCAGATTCATAATGAGATAAAGAATGATAAACATGATAAAGTTAAAGGTGAAGATAAAGATGTAATGTCTGCGAAATTTTGGAATATACTTAGAACATGTTTTCTCCCAAAATAATGCCAATCGCGAGGAAGTAAAGAAATGTGGCAAAGATATATCAACACACCACCACACCATAACATGGGAGCCATACCAAGCATGGACACCGTTCACGGTCCCTTTTCTCAAAGCCCACAAGTAACGCCTCGTTGGATTACGAAAAACACAAACAATGCCTAGAAAAATAATTACATTGAGAATTATGAGGGGGACCAAGATGTAAGCATGCTGATGACGAGGATGACTTTGGAAATAACTATTGTTTTTCCGTGGAATTCATTCAAAAAATTCCCAGAATCAAAACATTGTTAAAAAATCGTATTTCTTTTTCACACTTCATGTACATTACGACCGCCTCCGTGGTGTAGTGGTTAGAGCGTCTGCCCGGAGAGCAGAAGGTCGCGGGTTCGATCCCCGACCGCGTCATTCCAAAAGACGTTAAAAAATGGTACTTGTTGGTCCCTGCCTGGCGCTCGGCATTAAATGGGTACAACAAGGACTGGTCGGCTCGGAGTCAGTATAATGTGTCTGAGTGGGGTATCCATGCTTATCTGCAGCATGGTATCTCAGTGGGCTAGCACTATAAAACCAGCTTCAGTCTGGGCTAGTACAAGCAGCCGCACATACACATACACACGCATGCACGTCGTCATATGAGCGAAATATTCTCAAGTACGACGTTAAAATCAATTTCACCTCACCTCATGTACATTACAAGTATATTTATCCTGTATACCTGTTAGTCACCATTCACCTGGCGAAGGGACAACGAAAAGCCCAGAAACGTTGTGTATAGAATAAACAAGAAGTTGACATCCATAATCTTTTGTCTTATACCTACTTCATCCATTAAGGTGTCGCCAAAACTGGCGGTGGAGACGACACCTGCCACGTCGCCGACCCAGCAGAGGCACTTCTCAAATGCAACCGTGAACTGCAAAACGCCGCATCGTCAGGTGCCTCCCTTCGACTCAAATGTCGGTTAGTAAGAGATGCAGTCATAACCACCCGCAACTGTCTTGTGCGGGCAGCTTTATTTCGTTTGGTTTGTGTGAACACGATGGATGATGATGGTGATGATTATGGTGGTGATATTGATGGTGATGATGACGGTGGTGATGATGATGATGAGCTTTATTTAGTTTGGTTTGTGTAAACACGAAGGATGATGATCGTCATGTTGGTGGTTGTGGTGGTGAAGATTACGACGACGACGACGATGATGATTATGATGATGATGATGAGGAGGAGGATCGGAGTCTGTTTGCTAGTGTGTTTAGCGCCTGTTCGATCAGTGTTTTATATCTTGCTCGAACCTGCGTTTTTGCTTTCAATAACCGATCTTCGTTGGTCAGGATATCCAGTCGAAATTTTTTCTCTTTCAGTGTCATGTTTGAGAGTCTGGATTGTTTCGACCGACTGATCACCAACTGCCCCAGTGATCCTAGTATCGTCGCCTTCACAGACATGTTAGACATTAACGAAGTTAGAACAACCCTGTCTGGCAGCTGTAAGTGTTCTTTAAAAACGTTATTGAATGAGTGAATATAGTTTTACTCCGCTTTTAGCAATCTTCCAGCGACATCACGGCGGTAACGCTATTAAAAGGGGTTTAGGTCAACAGACACTAACCCTCCTAGTATATATACTCTTTTCAAAAAGCAACTATACTCTTAAAAAAGTGGCGGGACTTCAGTTTTTAATTTACGATTGAAAAGAAATGGGAGATATATCGGAGTCAATCAATGTTGATTTGATAATAATGACTATTTTGAGAGTGCATCACCACTTGCGCTTCCTTTTGACCATATTTGTTTGTACAGTAATCGCTCTTGAAAGATGATAGGTGTATGACGTGAAATTTGCATGTGTGCGATTTTCATTTTAAAAAAAACACAAAAAAAACGCGGCTAGAAACAAACACGAACAACTGTGTGATGAAAGATGATTGTCAAAATTGACGGTCTACGGTGATTTAGCGACCTTCCGGAAAACCGTCAAAATCAAGAATGACACCCCATGCACGTGTATGGGGGCTACGTGCGTTGTGCACGTGCATCCCATGCGTTGTGTGCAGGGGTGGTGATGAGAAATGGTGGTGATCATAAAATGTTTGTCTTTGTTAACGCTTATACTTCCTATCTAAATTAAAAGTTCAGATACTCTTACTTTTTTTAAGAGTATATTTTCGACAAGATCACATGGGTAAGATAAAAAACATTTATCTGCATGTAGTTCCATAATTCGGTGTAGACCAAAAGCAAAAAAATTTCATTGTAGGACGTGCATGTGACGAACAGCTTTAGTGTTTAACATTGATGTCCATCTTCCCCACAGGCCCCAGCAGAAGATGAGAGAGGGCGTTCCTGGAGGGAGGTTCAAGCAGAAATTCAAGCGGAAGTTCAACTAAAGGATCAGGGTTATATTAAAGGAACCTTCGCTATTGACGGCATACATTGTTACGCAGACATAATGATCACTAGAATAAAGGGAACATGTTTGAAAGTTTCTAATTTTAACGTACGTAAGAAGACCCCACTTCATGAGTGAGTGAGTGAGAATGGTTTTACGTCGCTTTTAGCAATATACATTTACATACACTTTGAGTACCAACGGGGTATAGACTTACAGTATCTACACATACGCGATGTAGATTTACTGATCGATCGAAGGAGGCATTACCAAACTGCCCTGTCTAACGGTGTGTTGACATCGACTATGAGGACCAAAGAAGTATACGTGGATGACACATGTCATCGTATCCCGATCGTATCCATAGATAGATGCTCATGCTGTTGATCACTGGATTATCTGGTCCAGACTCGATTACTTACAGACCGCAGCCATATAGCTGGAATATTGCTGAGTGCGGCGTAAAACTAAACTCACTCACTCACTCGCTCCAAAGGAGTATAGACTTACAGTGTAAGGAGTGTAGACTTACTGATCTGGTATTGACAAACTGTGTCCTGTCTAACGGTTTGTGGACAGTACCCGCACTAAAGAGGATGTATACTAGCGAAATGTTTTCTTCTAACACGGGGTCTGAAGGGGTGGGGCCGTTGGGGTGCCCCAGTGGCTTAAGCGTTCGTTTGTCACGTCGACTCCCCGGGTGACATCTCCCACATTGGGGCAGTGTGTCAGTTTTAATACGCCAAATTACACTAAACGATTGTTCATGTCGCTACACGGGTATTGCTTCTGGCAAAGATAACTAAGGAGTCGACTACCATGCCCAGCTCCCTGTGGAGTACGCCAGTGAGACGGTACATCTCATCCTACCGGTACCCATTCACTGCTTATTCAATTATCACCGCATCATAACGGGTACCCAATCACTGCTGAGTCACAATGCCACCTCATCCTACCTGGTACCCATTCACTGCTAAGTCACATTGCCATCCCATCGTACCTGGTACCCATTCACTGCTAATTCACTTCACAACTTCATCCTACCTGGTACCCATTCACTGCTAATTCACATCACCACCTCATCTACCGGGTTCCTATTCACTGCTAAATCACATCACCACCTCATCTACCGGGTACCCATTCACTGCTAATTCACATTACCACCCAATCGTACCTGGTACCCATTCACTGCTAATTCACTTCACCACTTCATCCTACCGGGTTCCCATTCACTGCCAAGTCACACCACCACCTCATCTACCGGGTACCCATTCACTACTAAGTCACATTAACATTTCACCCTTCAATGTTGGACGAATTAATATTTCAAATAAAGATGAATGATGCTAACCACAAACGTAGGTACAGACGGTATTTTATAAACAGGGGCGGTAGGGTAGCCTAACGGTTAAAGCGTTGGCTCGACACGCCGAAGACCCGGGTTCGAATCCCCACATGGGCACAATGTGTGAAGCCCATTTCTGGTGTCCCCCGCCGTGATGTTGCTGTAATATTGCTAAAAGCGGCATAAAACCAAACTCAGTCAGTCAGTCAGTATTTTATAAACACACCAATACCAAAGTTGGTTCAGTAAGCTCTGTGGTACGTCCACATTCAGTCCTTCGCTGCAAGCTTGACACAAACAGATAAACGCATAGGCGTTTTCAGCAGTTCATTCCGATATATATTTTGTCAGCAATGGTCATTTAGACTGTTCCAATGTTTGAATCCTTTAATCATATCGTGGTTGTAGTGTAAACGCAAACGCATCCCAAAATGTGTTTGTACACGTTTGTCATAAACAGTAAAAACGTTACATGAAAATTGCATGCAAAAACAGTTTTCCACGTAATCCACGTGCAATCCGTCGGAAACATGAGTAGAGACATCGACTATAAAAGGCCAAACCAAATCTGAGTCTCAGTCTGCCGTTGCAGTCCACAACGGTACCATATCTCGATTATGGCATTGATGTACCAGCTCGCCCCAAGATCTTCTCAGAAGTGGACGACCAATAGTGACCACTTCTGCTCAGTAGCGATTCATCCGGGTGGTTTTTAACCTACGTCACCGATTTGCTACAGCAACGGACACTGAAGGGCACTTGCCTGAACTTTGACGAATTTTCGACCAAACCATCAGAAATCGTCTGAGAAAAAGTGTCAATTGGAGCCTATCAACCAAAAGTTGGACCTGTCCTGACACTTCTATACTGACAACGACGTGTCCAATGGTGCGACAGGGTACAGGCATGAAACCTAGGGACTGGCGACGCGTTTGGTTCAGCCATGAATCGCGTCTCCTGCAACGACTGGATGGAAGACAACGTGTCTATCGACGTCGACACGAACGTTCAGCGCCGAACTGGTGGACAAATTTGATTGAGATAGAGTCATGGTGTGGGGAGCCATGTCCTACACGGGTAGATGAGAGCTAGTGATGGTTCAAGGCAATCTTACAGCAAATCGCTACATCGATCAAATCCTGCGACCTCACCTTCCCCAACTTTTAACAGCCAGTGGGAACTGCACTGGGAAAGTTCTTCTTCGCGGTGGAGATGTATTAACACTTACTGTCATTGCAAGGTATTTTCCTCATGTATTAGTTTCCTGTAAAATCAGAAGTTGACAAGTTTCGATATATATTGGGCCTTTTAGGGCAAATTAGAGCCTTTTCAAAGCTAAAACGAATTGAGAGCCTTTTCAGGGTAAAATGTCTACATTTCAGGGTTTTTTTCAAGCCTGAGTGAACCCTGAACATATATTTTGAACATATGCTTTCATGTTCTAACACTAAAACCTCCAATACCATCTGTCAAAGCAGTGTATCACAGCATCAGTGTTCTGTAGCTTACCTTCACAATACAACATATATGTAAAGGTACTTGATAAGCCTAAAGGGCTGAAGCAAATCCGCTTCATCCGGAAATAGTGCAATTATCAAATTAGTAAAAAAATGCAAGTGGGAGACACATCAGTTTCATTCGTAACATGTGCAATTATGGAATACTTTCACAAATGGAGTATTTTGAGAGACATTATTTGTGGAATGAGGCTTCTTCATTACTGTAACAAAAGCATATTTGATAACAGACATTACAACTAGTTGGTGGAGGCAATTCTAAACACTAAACAGAAACCGCGACCTCCTCCTTGGAGCTGCCACCACCCCAGCCTCCTGTAATTCGTTCAGAAATAGCTTGGCCTTTGTCTTAAGCCTTGAAGGGACTCCAGGAGCGCTGATGAAGTACTTGTACTGTCGGTGGTCGGCATCGTTAAGTCTGAAACGACTGCCTTCACGCCGGAACTTCTGCCTCAGAGTCTCAATTTCCTCCACGTCGCTGTCGATGCTGACGTTGTAAAGATGGCGGAGGACGGGGTTGACAGCTGAGCTGGTTCCGGTTGAGACAGGGAGATCTCGTAACAACCTTCTCTCTGCATCTTTCAGATGGTCGTTTGGAGTTAGCTCCGTGTATTTGACGACCAGGTCTTTCTTGAGTATGTCATTTGCTCTTTGTTGTAGTCTTTGAGCCGAGTTCTTCAGTTCTGAGTTCTTGCTTCTCTTTGCTGCATAGAACGTATTCAAGTAATATTAAGTCGCAATAAATGAGTCCCCTTGTGAAGTCATCTCTTCTTCTATCGTCTTCAGCTCGTTCTTGAGAAATTCGATTTTCAACCTCCTGACAAGAACAGGGAACCCGTCAATTTCTGTGATTCGGACCAGTCTCAGAGCTTGAATGTCATCTTCATCCGAAATATCAGCAAAAGCGATATCGCTTGCGTACTTCGATTCAAACTGGCGCAGAACCTTCCTCACGACTGACATGAATTCGTCGCTGTTTGACTTCACTGCTTCGTTCCACCGAAAGTTCAGCTCGTAATCTACCCTTTCCCTGAAACCTCTCCAGAGATCCTTATCGTCAAGTATGCTGAAAACAAGAAGTATAATGTAAGTGTTACATGCAATGTGTTGTGGTTGATGAATCTGAGTATAAAACTTAGTTGGACTGAGATGTAATAGGTACTACTTGACTAGCCCTGTGTTACACTCTTGTTGTGTTCAAGCTCGTCAAAATATGGCCAGCTTTGCCGAATATGTCCATGAGAACTGCCGACCTTCGCAGATTATGTCAGTGAGAGCTGCATATCGATTCAGATTGTTGGACGTTCATGTGCCTTTAAACGCAGACAAGATAGTCAAACAGAGCAGAGCCAGCAGACATCGAGAAACAAACTAGAAGAAAGGCAAGCCAGGGACCTGAAAGGACGAACTGACCAGTTGATCCAGCCATCAACTGCCCAAGTGCCAGCATCACTTCGCCGCCTTTACATGTGAGCCTCTGCCAGACTCTGCACGTTGTGTGCAAGTTGTTCGCCATGCCCCACAAGTTGTACGTTAAGCAATTAAAAACTAACATTCTTTGTTGACACTACGTCTCGTGTTGTCTCAAGACCACATGAGGAATTACACCTAATGGTTACATCTTTGACCTACCTTTTCAGTTTCTCATACACCTCTGGTATCAAAGTCCGTACATCTGCACATGCGTAGTCGATCATTTCCGGTGTAAATTCTTTTGTTGCCCAATAAGCAGCATTGCTTTTGTACAATTTGGCCTGAAACATAGAAGTCAGAATCATAAAGGAAGGTTCTTAACCGTGTCACAATATGATGGTTTCAAGACATTGTTTGTATCTATTTTCCTTAACGCGACAATCAGCATTATTCCATCTACAGACAATCCAGTGATCAACAGCAGGAGCATCGATCTATGCAGCTGGAATACGATGACACATATCAACGAAGTCAGCGAGCCTGACCATCCGATCACGTTAGTCGCCTCTTACGACTCATGGGTTACTGAAGATCAATTTCTTACCCCTACCATCTTCACGTGTTTACTGAAAAAGCAAACCCCCAGACATCGGGGTACCCTGATAACATATGAATTGAGACGCACTGATTGTGAAATAAACTGACCTACAAAGAAAGTATAAACCGGGTTACTTTTTTACAAAACCTAAAACGGTTAATTTTTGGACAAACCTAAAACAACGTTGATTTAGACACAGTTGATGCTAATCAATATGCTAGTTAATCAGCAGCGGTTAGAACAGTGACGTCATTTGAACGTTGCAACAGTGACGAAAGGACTTCATGCTGTCGGCATCTGGGTCTATCGATTTTCGGGGCATGTCATTAACTGAGTCGTCCACGGTGGACGAGGAACGTGAGACGCTGACAACGTCACAATTTGGGACCATATCTGTGGTGTTTTCGCAACACGTACACAATGTTTGTGACTTGTCCCAATAAAAATATTTTGCCTGTTGTTTTTGAAAATCACCCCAAAGCACGTCCTGGTGTGTACTTTCATTTGAACGTCAGTATATCTACATTTTATTTTTTCACCATGACGCTTTTGCTGTACCTAGTACAAAATGTCCACGGGTAGCATACAGTATTTAGCGAACTCAGGTGTGTAGTGCTACCACTTTCGTTTTTCCTCAGCTACGGGTAACCTACTGTGACGTCTTCTTTTCCCTCAAGGGAAGTGACGTCAGTGTAGCGGCTGCAAACATCCATCAACTTCCGGGCATATGGGAGTTGTCTCCCTTCAGATTTTTCAATGATGAAAAGAGCCATCTGTGGAAAATATGAAGTAACATAAAACAAATAACAGAAGGCTTAAAACACCCACGTACAGCGTATAGGGATGGTTGATACTTACAAGTAAAACAACAAATGTGATGCTCGGCAGCTAAATAAATGGGGTGTTTGTTAAAGGGAGACGCATTAGTTGCGTACATGCTACATACTATACCACACGTTCCGATGTCCCAATAATGGGGTGTTTTTATACAGAATCCGTAAGTCAATGAGGACACATGAAAGAGACACACGTAGGTACACATACAACGCACACATGTCTAATATGTTTGTTTACTGTAGCGATTAGCCTTCCTCCAACGCTGTAATGAAAGCTGAAAGCCAACGGGTGTACAGTAATTCCATCCTTTATTGAGGCAAGTCTAGCAAGTCTAACAGACACATGGGTACACATAGAGCAGACACATGGATACACATAAAGCAAACACATGGGTACACATACAAAAGACACATGGGTACACATACAGCAGACACATAGGTACACATACAACAGACACATGGGTACACACACAGCAGACACATGGGTACACATACAGCAGACACATGGGTACACATACAGCAGACACATGGGTACACATACAGCAGACACATGGGTACACATACAGCAGACACATGGGTACACATACAGCAGACACATGGGTACACATACAACAGACACATAGGTACACATACAACAGACACATGACATATATACACAGACACATGGGTACATATGCAGCAGACACATGGGAACACATACAGCAGACACATGGTACACATACAACAGACACATGGTACACATACATCAGACACATGGTACACATACATCAGACACATGGGTACACATACATCAGACACATGGGTACACATACAGCAGACACATGGGTACACATACATCAGACACAAGGTACACATACATCAGACACATGGGTACACATACATCAGACACAAGGTACACATACAGCAGACACATGGGTACATATACAATCAGACACATGGGTACACATACATCAGACACATGGGTACACATACAGCACACACATTGGTATACCTACAGCAGACACATGGGTACACCTACAGCAGACACATTGGTACACATACAGCAAACACATGGTATACATACAACAGACATATGGGTAAATACAACAGAGACACCTGGGTACACATACAACAGACTCATGGGTACATATACATCAGACACATGGGTACACATACAACAAACACATGGGACATACACAAGAGACACGTGGGTACACATACAACAGACACATGGGTACATATACAACAGACACATGGGTACATATACATCAGACACATGGGTATATATATATAAGACACATGGTCCACATGCAGCAGACACATGGGTACAAATACAACAGACACATGGTACACATACAACAGACACATGGGTACACATACATCAGACACATGTTACACATACATCAGACACATGGGTACACATACAACAGACACATGGGTACACATACATCAGACACATGGGTACACATACATCAGACACATGGGTACACATACATCAGACACATGGGTACACATACATCAGACACATGGGTACACATACATCAGACACATGGGTACACATACATCAGACACATAGGTACACATACATCAGGCACAGTCAGACACATGGGTACACATACATCAGACACATGGGTACACATACAACAGACACACGGGTACACAAACAATAGACACATTGGTGGACATACATCAGACACATTGGTAGACATACAGCAGACACATGGATACACATACAGCGGACAAATGGGGACACATACAACAGACACATGGGTGGACATATAACAGATACACGGGTACACATACAACAGACACATGGTACACATACATCATAACACAAAACACACACATGGACACATAACATACACAATGGGACACATGGTACAACACAGGAGACACATGGGTACACATACATCAGACACATGGGTACACATACATCAGACACAAGGCTACATACATACAGACACACATGGGTACACATACAGCAGACACATGGGTACACATACATCAGACACACATGGGGTACACATACACACAGACACATGGATTTTACACATACATCAGACACATGGGTACACATACAACAGACACATGGGTACACATACAACAGACACATGGGTACATATACACACAGACACATGGGGGTACACATACAACAGACACATGGGCACATATACAACAGACACATGGGTACACATACAGCAGACACATGGGTACACATACATCAGACACATGGGTACACATACATAGACAGACACATGGGTACACATGCAACAGACACATGGGTACACATACATCAGACACATAGGTACACATACATCAGACACATGGGTACACATACACACAGACACATGGGTACACATACAACAGACACATGGGTACACATACATCATACACACATGGTACACATACAACAGACACATGGTACACACATACACAGACATGGGTACCACACATACATCAGACACATGGGTACACATACATCAGACACATGGGTACACATACATCAGACACATGGTACACATACATCAGACACATGGGTACACATACAGGAGACACATGGGTACACATACAACAGACACATGGTACACATACATCAGACACAAAGGTACACATAACATCAGACACATGGGTACACATACATCAGACACATTGGTACACATACAACAGACACATAGGTACACATACAAAACACAAAGGTACACATACATCAGACACATGGGTACACATACAGCAGACACATTGGTACACATACAGCAGACACATTGGTACACATACAGCAGACACATTGGTACACATACAGCAGACACATTGGTACACATACAGCAGACACATTGGCACACACACAGCAGACACATGGTACACATAGAACAGACATTTGGGTACACATACAGCAGACACATGGGTACACATACAGCAGACACATGGGTACACATACACCAGACACATGGTAAACATAGAACAGACATTTGGGTACACATACAGCAGACACATGGGTACACATACAGCAGACACATGGGTACACATACAGCAGACACATGGGTACACATATAACGGACACGTGGTACACATACATCAGACACATGGGTACACATAGAGCAGACACATGGGTACACATGCAGGAGACACACGGGTACACATGCAACAGACAGACGGTACACATACAGGAGACACGTGGGTACACATACAACAGACACGTGGGTACACATATAACAGACTCGTGGGTACACGTACAGCATACACGTGGATACACATATAACAGACACATGGTACACATACAACAGACACATGGTACACATACACCAGACACATGGGTACACATACAAAAGACACATAGGTACACATACATCAGACATATGGTATACATACAACGGACACATGGGTACATAACTGCAATATGAATGGAGTGGTTGTACACAGATGCAATAGGAATTGAGTGGTTGTACACAAATGCAATTCTCATGGGGTTGTTGTACACAAATGCAATATGTATGGAGCGGTTGTACACAGAGGCGATACGGATGGAGTGGTTGTACACAGATGCAATTTGGATGGGATGTCCATGGCTTTGGTTTGGTAGTCTGAGACAAAACACAGTGAAACACTTTCTCATTTGCAGGCAAAGATCAAGGTGAGTGCCATTTTACAATACCTGCACGTCAAAAACATTGATCAGCATGACATCAAACTGACACTTGAGGGCGGCGCTGTCACCGCTGCACCCATGAAATACCTGAAAATGAAAGCGTGAGTGAGTTTAGTTTGACACCGCTTTTAGCAATATCCCAGCAATATCACGACGGGGGACACCAGAAATGGGCTCGACGCATTGTACCCACGTGGGGAATTTAGGTATTTGGCGTGACGAGCGAACGTTTTAACCACTAAGCTGCCCCACTGCCCCCGAAGTGCAAATAGAAGCCTAATAAGTCGACATGGCGGAAAATAGAGGCAGTCGTGGGAATGTTTAAGATCTATTTTTTAGTATGTATCAGAAATACAGGGCCCTTATTCTCGAAACGTTCGTAGCCCTACGAATTCTTAACTTTGATCGTAACCAATGTATTAAGCATGGGCTTACGAAGTTCGTAGGTCTACGAACGTTTCGAAAATAGCTAGCCTTGGGCCTTATTCTCGAAACGTTCGTAGCCCTAAGAATTCTTAACTTTGATCGTAGCCAATGTGTTAAGAATGGGCTTAAGAAGTTCGTAGGGCTACGAACGTTTCGAGAATAGCTAGCCTGATTACTAGAATCACTTGACAGACATACCTTGACGATGTCTCGATTTTCCAGAAACGACTTCAGTCGGCCTTTAGTGAAGACTTTTGGCTCAACGAACACGTTGAACAAGTAGACAAAACCGTCTAGTTTGGCCACCTGCAGAAGAGTGAGAGGGCCCTTCTTTCCAAGATTGATTCCCTCGCAGTCCACAGCAACGACAGGCTCCTGGAGGAGGTCATCGACAGCCTTGACGCAGTCATCGACGTTATCCACAACCTTGTGGCACACTCCATCTTCTGCCATCTACAAACACAAAGCAGAACATAGCCTGTATCCTGTGCTCGCTTTCATTGTTCCTTTATATCAGTGACTTTACTGGAATACACACTACTGCCTTATTAGGGGGCTATACACAACAGTTAAAGCGTTCGCTCATCACGCCAAAAGTCCGGGTTCGACTTTAACACGGCCTCTCAGTAACATCACGGTGTTAGCTGACTGTGTTTGCCGGAAGTGACGTAAGCACAACACATGGGTACAAGAGGTGATGCCTAATTCAAGTGTCCTTGCTGGAATGTTCTCAAAAGCGGGGTTAACCCATAAGCAGCCGGGACCCGTGAAGATCCGGGTTAGAACTGATCTTCACCAACCAATGCTTGTCGTAAGAGGCGACAAACGGGATCGGGTGACACATGTCATCGGTTACCAGTTGTGCAGCTCGATGCTCATGCTGTTGCTGGTCTGGTCCGGACTTAATTATTTACAGACCGCCACCATATAGCTGGAATAGTGCTGAGTGTGGCGTAAAACTAAACTCACTCACTCTCAACTTCGGTATGTCTGTCTGCACGATCAAGGGGACCACCAGACTGGAAACATTATACAGTAAAGAGCCTTCTCCAGAGCGCAAACCGAAAGCTGAAATTCATTTTAAGAAGGGCGTGTGTTGTGATTGCACTAGGTGATGATAGTATGAAGCGCTCAGCTGAATTTGTACAGATAGCTGACGTAAGCATCACGTGATCGATGTAATCATTCAGTCGCTGAGACAATCTCTTTTCGACTTTGGACTTGAGATACTCGACTCATGATAGTCTGTACCCGTGAAGATCCGGGACAGATTGATCTTCTGTAACCCATCCTGTAAGAGGCGACTAACGGGGTCGGGTGGTCAGGCTCGCTGACTTGGTTGACACATGTCATCGGTTTCCAATGCGCAGATCGAAGCTCATGCTGTTGATCACTGGATTGTCAGGTCCAGACTCGATTATTTACAACCGCCGCCATATAGCTGGAATATTGCTGAGTGCGGCGTAAAACTAAACTCACTCATAATAGTCTGTCTCACGGTCCCTGAACCACATTGTTTCCCCTTGCTCCCAACCCTTTCTGCAATGCTGAACCCCAAATGAAACTTGCTAGATCTCCTCAGGTTCAGGTTCTGAATCTCCGATATCTTCAATGAAGAATTATTTGTTTCTATCAGAAAGATTCATTCAGAGGTTAAGCGTTCGTCCAGATTCATAATACATAATTCATAATTCATACTGACACGGAACATGAAAGTACTGCAGAGCCTCGTTAAGCCCAAAACACCCGTGGATTTAATTTAATGATCATCTTCAAGCGTTTTATTTTATTAACTAACTACAAGCATTGAGAGAGAGACCTTGGTAAAAATTTACCCAATCTAAAAACGATCCAAATGTGTGAAAATCACAATAATATTGCTAAAGGCGACGTAAAACGACACTCACTCACTTTTCACGTACTTAACCTTGTCGGTTAGGATGTAAGTAATGCAATAGAATCAATAATCGAGACCTGGACAACCCAGGGCCAAGGGAGAAACTATAATAAAACTTACCTTAACACAGAGCCAGTAAACGCTCTCTCTCTGGTCAAGCTTTCGCCGGTGTATACTCATCGACCGAAATAAACATTATCTAAATACTGTATCTATCCGTTATCTAACATCAATTACGTCATTATATTGTGAAATCGAAACAGAAAGCTAATGCTTATGTTTGTTATCATCAGAAAAGGTGTTATGATAATGTGTTATTCTAAATTTGGTAGCAACAAACCACTCCATTTAAACTGAAAAGCAGCCACAGACAAATGGGAGATTCAGAGCCTGTGGAAAATCGGGAGTATTTGATTCATTTAAGGGCTATCGGGCTTATACATGAAGGGCTTGATGAGAGAGTTTCGGGGACTAGACGTGTAACGCTTGCGGGACACACGGGTATCACACCACAGTGGACCGGCTTGCATTTATCTCAAGTATTTCACGTTCTTATCCAACAAAACCAAGTGGGTGATCAATAGATACGAGCTGTCACGATCATGCAGAAATGAGCTAACGCCTTTTCTATTTCTTCGTGTTATCGTAACAGGATAGTGTAACAGGATAGTTTTGGGGAATAGAGGTTTAGATTTATCATTTCAAGCTGTAATATGTTCATTAGCTGTTACATTAGTTGTATGTGCTTGAATTAATTGTCCATTTGATCTATTTAGTGTGGACAGGTTAATTTTTTTCCTGCCTCAGCATCCTAGCTTTTTAGCCCTCAGCTTCCTATTATACACTCTTCAGAAGAAATAAAAAAGAAACGCACAGGCGTTTAAAGCAGTACATTTCGATATATTTTGACAGCAATCGTCATTAAGACAATTCCTCTGGTTTAATCCCGTTAATCATGTCGTGATTGAGTATTGTCCGCTAACGCATCTCAAATATGTGTGTGCAAACGTTTGTAATGAACAATGAGAACGTTACATGAAAAGTGCATGCATAAAACGTTTTCCACGTAATGCACGTGCATTGTGTCGGAAACATGAGTAGAGACATCGACGATAAAAGGCCAAACCAAATTCATCTTCTCAGTACGAAATTTACGACGTAACCGAAGTATCACCATTGGACGTTTGGAAACAAGGGAGTCTCAGTCTGCCGTTGAAGTCCACCACAGCACCATATATCGATTATGGCATAGATATATCCGCTTCAGCTCGACCCAAGATCTTCTCAGAAGTGGACGACCAAGAGTGACTACTCCTGCTCAGGACCGATTCATCCGGGTGTTTCACCTACGTCACCGATTTGCTACAGCAAAGGACACTGCAGTGCAGGTGCCTGGTCTTCGAAAACCTTCCACAAAACGTTCAGAAATCGTCTGAGAAAAGTGGGAATAAGGAATATCGACCAAAAGTTGGACCTGTCATAGGCATAAAACCTGGGGCAACTGGCGAAGCGTCTGGTTCAGCGATGAATCGCGTCTCCTCCTGCAACGACAGGATGGGAGACAGCGTGTGTATCGACGTCAACACAAACGTTTTGCGCCGAACTGCGTTCGACAGGTGTACAGATTTGGTGGAGATGGCGTCATGGTGTGGGGAGCCATGCCTTACACATGTAGATGAGAACCAGTAGTAGTTCAACGAAATCTTATAACAAATCGCTACATCGACAAAATCCTGCGACCTCACCTCCCCAGCTTTTTAACCGCCAGAGGGAGCTGTGTCAACACAAAGCTCGACCCCACACAGCGCGTGTAACAGGTGCCAATCTCGGCAATGCAAACGTCAACGTCCTTCCCTGGCCATCCAAACGCCTGATCTGAAGCCGATCGAGCATCTATGGGACGATCTTGATCGACGCGTTCGTAAACGTCAACATTGTCTCCAGACACTTGTATAACTTGCCAAAGCTTTGCAGGAAGAATGGTGAAGAAATCCCGACTTGTGCAATCCCCTCCAAGGCGGTGTCGAGCAGTGACGGCTGCAAGGGATGGTGGCACCAGGTACTGACCTGAACGCCCCCTTGTGTCAATACATGTGCAGTGGCTGAACTGAATTAATGCTGAAAATGACAACAATACATATTCATCCGTGTGTCGAATTTTCTGCATCAATGTTCAAGCTTAATTTATGTACACTTGAATACATACATTTAGTAAATATCTTATGTTTGGCATATCCGTTTGCTTTTTTGAAGAGTTTATTTATATAAATGGGTGTAATATTTTACATCGGAATTTCTATATTAACAACTGGCTTATGCAGAATCTTGGAAATTACCCCTCTCTGTATCGGGTGTTTAATGTCGCGTTCAAGATGATTTCTTTCTTAAAGTGAAAGTGAGTTTAGTTTTACGCGGCATTTATCAATATTCCAGCAATATCACGACGAGGGACACCGGATCGTACTGGTGTGGGGATTCGAACCCGGGTCCTCCAGCGAACGCTTTAACTACAAGGCTACCCGCTCTTTTCTCTATGAAAGTGAGGTGCATGAGCGCCGGTTGCTAACTGCCCTTGACCAAACTATTGCTTGTGTGTAGTGCTAGACACAAAGGTACAATAGTGTATTACTGATACCCAAGGGTCGGTGAGGTGGCCTAGTGGTTAACGAGCTCGCTCGCCACGCCGAAGGCTCGGGTTCTATTCCCCACATGGGTACAATGTGTGAAGCCCATTTCTGGTGTCCCCCCGCCGTGATATTGCTGGAATATTACGGTGTAAAACTCACTCACTGATACCCAACTTGGACAATACACTGACCACCCGCTGATCAGTTATTATTTCTAGTGAGTGAGAGGGTGAATGGGTTTTACGCCGCTTTTAGCAATATTCCAGCAATATCACGGCGGGGGACACCAGGAATATGCTTCACACGTCCCCATGTGGGGAATAGAACCCGAGCCTTCGGCGTGGCGAGCGAGCACGTTGACCGCTAGGCTACCCCTGCAACATATTAACGTTATTCTCATTAGGATACTGCTGTAACTTGAAAAACGAATTATGTTTGTTTGTGTGTTTGTGTGTTTGTTGTTTAACGTCGCACTCAGCAATATTCCAGCTATATGGCGGCGGTCTGTAAATAATGGAGTCTGGGGCCAGACAATCCAGTGATCAACAGCATGAGCATCGGTCTACGCATTTGGGGTACGATAATATGTGATATGCATCAACCACTTCAGCGGACCAGACCAACCTACCATGTCATGGGTTTCCTCATCCCAGAGTGGGTTGCTGAAGACCAATCGTAACCCGGGTCTTTATGGGTCACTTTTTCTGCATGTGTGTATTTCCTCTTTTCCGTTAACGAGAGCACATTAAAAACCCATCTCGACGGCATCTCTTATCGTTAAATATTAAACGAAACAAAACAAACGGAATACTCCTTTATTTCAATTGACCCATGATGCTATGCGTTCTAAAGTTTCCGAGTTGTCCATGGTGCTTCTGTAGTCGAGATGGACAGATGGCCTCACTTTTTCTGCCTGAGGAAATTAAAAAAAAAGAATTATAAATACGTGTATAATTTGAAAAGAAAGACATTTGTTTGAGATAAAAAGTTCGTCAAATGAGCCAGCGTGGCATCTTTCACAAGACAATGTTTTCAGATGATCCAGAATATTTGGAAATCAATTTATTCAAGCGTAATATCTGAAGGGTGTCCTCCCATGAGTCATACGTCCCACCAGTCATACGGGTTAAAACAACATATGGTATGATTGACTGCACCAACAACTACCTTTGTAATGCCTTTGTCAAAATATAGTGGAATGATCCAGGAAACAAAAATACATCAGTGAACTTTAATAATCTGTCTTCAGCATGGTATACATACATAATCATTATACATACATCATTAACATTACTTTATTTAAATAACTTCAATAACTTAATTTCACAGTTTCGCCTGTTGTATACCTCGCCTAGAGGTAACGCATTCCACGGCAATCAATCCTGCCATGATAACAAGAGTGATATGCTATACTAATATTAATCGACAAGAGAGACTATGCCAACTGTGTGATATAAATACTGTCGAGGATGGCTACCATTTCCTTCTTGTTTGTTTCACTTCACGAGATTGAGTAAACTCAATCAACCTCAGTAGAGTTTAACATTGATTTAAATGTTTTGATTATCAACCAACGGCTGTGGTGTATTATAATCATATAACTTCAATGTAATTTACTTTAATAACATTTATTTATATGTTTTCATTACCAAAACCCTAGTATGGAGATCTACCTTCGGTTGTTGGCAAGCTATAGCCTGTTCTTATATTGTATTATCGTGTATAGTTAAAATGTTTTAGATTTTATTACTAGTTTTACACTTACATCTGTGATATTCTAGTTATTGTACTGTCCTTCGTTGGCAGGGTTTTATACTTTACCTATAATTATTATTAATATATAATTTGATATAGTGACGATATGGCTGAAATAATGCCGATATGACTTAAAATCTTAACTCACTCACTCACTCCTTACCCAAGACTGTGGAAATTCTCAGTGTTAGAGATTAAACTAACCTTAAGCTCTCTTATTAGCGGGCTAGTCCATTTTGCCCAAAGAGTATATGCCTGTTGTTGTTTTAATTACTCCCTCATTTGCTGTATGACTAGTGGGAGTAGGACTAATGGGCGTATGAGTAATGGGACATGACCATCTGAAGTTACGGTTTATCTTGAACAGGTTATCATTTTCTTCAAAAACATCCAAACCCAGACAAGAACAATATTGTAACTGGTGACGATTAAAAGTTCATCCATGCCACCTCTTGACCTCATCGACACTTTATCTGTACCTTTGCGGCTTTAATGGAGTTCCGGGTATTCATGCTTACAATTTGCGGGCGACGGTCATGATTTGTCTTATAATGTGGTTTTGTGTGGACTTGTGCATAGAACCATGGTCACAAACCAGCTGAAGTAAAGCAACGTTGGTCACGGAGAGTCTTGGATGGGTGCCCGTGTCAGGCAGCTTGACTGATTGCCCTGCCCCACAAGTAGCACAGGTGGTCTCATCTTAGGCATGTGAGTTTGTTCAAACTTGCTTCTGTTCACCTAGCACAATATGGGTACCCGGTGGGATATGTCATATGACTATTAACCTTCCAGCGCCTTGGGGTCATCTTAAGTCATTGGCGTGGAGTTCAGCCTTAAAAATGTTATGCCTTTTAATATAATTTACCAGTGCTATTCTTGCAAATGTTTCCAAATATTTTCTAGCTGGCGATGCATATGAGAAAATCTTACTTTCAAATTTCCAGGTTTGCTTAGTGGCAAAAACCTTGAACCTAACAGTGAATACTGCTATACTTGTCACCATATCACCCCCGTGAAGATCTGGGTTAGAATTGGTCTTCTGCTAACAAAGCTTGTCGCAAGAGGCGACTAACGGGATACGGTGGTCAGGCTCGCTGACTTGGTTGACACATGTCATCGTATCCCAGTTACGTACATCGATGTTTATGCTGTTGATCACTGGATTGTCTGGTCTAGACTCGATTGTTTACAGACCGCTGCCATATCGCTGGAATATTACTGAGTGCGGCGTTAAACAACAACTAACCTACCATATTAACGAGGCCTGGTGACCCCATATCTCATTGTAGCCATGTTTTTCTATGTTGTCAACAACAAGCAGTTCTCACCCACAGTTTCCGAGCATGCCTCTCAAGGCGGCAGGGTTCATCATGGACATTATACCCCGGACATCCTGTTTGTCTGAACAGTTATTGAACTCTTCCTCCAGGCAGTTCAAACCTTCTCTGGCACTTCTGTTTGAAAAAACAACAACAAAATATTTGTTACTGCCACTCGTGTCGGAAAAATACTTTTACAGCTTAAATTGAAAATGAAATGTGAATCTTCATCCATTTCATCTCTGGAAGCTCTTCTGTATGCTACCTAAAATACTTAGAAATGTTACAGGATATTGGTATGCACTATGATGCCAGTTAGTGAGTGAGTGAGTTTATTCCAGCAATATCACGGCGTTTGCTCGTCACGCCGAGGACCTGTGTTCGATTCCCCACATGGGTACAATAAGTGAAGCCCATTTCTGGTGTCCCCTGCCGTGATGTTGCTGGAATGTTGAGAAAAGTGGCGTAAAACTAAACTCCTGACTCTCTCACGCACTCACTGTCTTTTGCAACACAATGAAAGGCAGTTTAATGTCATGGCCAACCTTTCTCTTCAAACTTTATGCTGAAACATCAAGCAAGTAAATCTCGAACTATCTATCGAAACCAAAGTCCAAGTTTCTATATTGGCAAACTTTTAGGATCACACCTTGTATTTGTTTCGTGAATGCGACAACCACTACTTCTACTACAACAACAACAGCAACAACAACAACAACTACTACTACTACTACTACTACTACTACTACAACTACTACTACTACTACTACTACAACAACAACAAAAACTACTACTTCTACTACTACAACAACAACATTAACTACTACTACTACTACTACTGCTGCTGCTACTACTGCTGCTACTACTACTACTAATGCTACCACTACTCCTACTACAACCTTCACAAACTAGAGGAACATGAGTACATGCTGACAGGGACAGCGTGGGTGAGTTTAGTTTAACGCCGCACTCAGCAATATTCAAGCTATATGGCTGCGGTCTGTAAATAATCGAGTCTTGACCAGACAATCCAGTGATCAACAGCATGAGCATTGATCTGCGCAACTGGGGTGCGATGACATGTCGTCAACCAAGTCAGCGAGCCTGACCACCCGATCCCGTTAGTCGCCTTTTACGACAAGCATGGATTACTGGAGATCAATTCTAACCCGGATCTTCACGGGTGACATGGACAGAAGTGTGTATTTACTGGCAAGACTCTGTGTAGTCATCACTTGTGGGGTCCATGTTCAGAGATTTCAGCGGTCCAGCACAAGCCACGATCCGGCTCATGTATCCAGGTTGACAACCGGAACTAGATGATGCTGGAACAGTTTTAGACTAACGCTTCATCTCTGAACATATATAATGTTGATAGAAACAAATAATTATTTTTAAATTGAAAAAAAGCGCCAATGTGTCGCTGCAAGAGTTGCATGATCCCCAGGGAGCTGAGATTGATAATACGATTCAGAGACTATGAGACAGACTAGAATAGCTTTTGAGTGGCCAATTATCTTTCTGACATCTTTAAATATAAAATGTTCCAAATTTTGTATTTCAGTTTTTCACTTGAGCAGCTGAAGACGATATGTCGGTTTTCATTCAATTACATTGGTTTTGTCAATCTAAACGTATATTTATTCACACAGCATGCAGTACTCTTTATTTGTTTTGCTGGACAATTACAGTGGATTAATTGTAATTATGTGTACTCACCAGCTCCAGGGGAAGGACCTGTCCAAAAACAGAGAAGAAGAAGTTCAAAATAAATACAAACGTTTCTGATTCCGTCGCCACTGCTATTATAACTACTGCTTCTATCACTACTGCTACTACTACTGCTGCTACTATTACTACTGCTACTACTACTGCCACTGCTGTTGTTACTACTACTGCTACTACTGCTGCTTTGGCTACTACTACTACTACTGTTGCTGTTACTACTACTGCTGCTACTGCTACTGCTGCTACTACTGCTGCTACTAATACTGCTACTACTACTGTCGCTGCTGTTGCTACTACTACTGCTGCTTTGGCTACTACTGCTGCTGCTACAACTACTACTACTACTGTTGCTGTTACTACTACTATTGCTACTACTACTGCCGCTACTACTACTGCCGCTACTACTACTGCTGCTGCTACTACTACTACTGCCGCTACTACTACTGCCGCGACTACTACTGCCGCTACTACTACTACTGCCGCTACTACTACTGCTGCTACTACTTCTGCTGCCACTACTACTACTGCTGCTACTACTACTGCTGCTACTACTACTACTGCCGCTACTACTACTGCCGCTACTACTACTGCTGCTACTACTACTACTGCCGCTACTACTACTGCCGCTACTACTACTGCCGCTACTACTACTGCTGCTACTACTACTACTGCCGCTACTACTACTGCCGCTACTACTACTGCCGCGACTACTACTGCTGCTACTACTACCGCTGCCACTACTACCGCTGCCGCTACTACTACTGCCGCTACTACTACTGCCGCTACTACTACTTCTACTACTGCCGCTACTACTACCGCTACTACTGCCGCTACTACTACTGCTGCTACTACTGCTGCTGCTCCATTACCGCTACTACTACTACTACTACTTCACTGCCGCTACTACTGCTGGCTACTACCTGCTACTACTACTGCCGCTACTACTACTGCTGCTACTACTGCTATCATCTGCGACTACTACTGCTGCTACTACTACCGCTGCCACTACTACCGCTGCCGTTACTACTACTGCCGCTACTACTACTGCCGCTACTACTACTGCCGCTTCTACTACTGCCGCGACTACTACTGCCGCTACTATTACTGCTGCTACTACTGTTTCTACTACTACTGCCGCGACTACTACTGCCGCTATTACTACTGCTGCTACTACTGCTGCTGCTACTACTACTACTGCCGCTACTACTACTGCTGATACTACTACTACTGCCGCGACTACTACTGCCTCGACTACTACTGCTGCTACTACTACCGCTGCCGCTACTACTACTGCCGCGACTACTACTGCCGCTACTACTACTGCTGCGACTACTACTGCCGCTTTTACTACTGCCGCGACTACTACTGCCGCTACTATTACTGCTGGTGCTACTACTCCTGCCGCTACTACTACTGCCGCTACTACTACTGCTGCGACTACTACTGCCGCTACTACTACTGCCGCGACTACTACTGCCGCTACTACTACTGCTACTACTGCTGCTGTTACTACTAATACTGCTGCTGTAGTAGTAGTAGTAGTAGTAGTAGTAGTAGTAGTAGTAGTAGTAGTAGTAGTAGTACGGTCCAGATTGAGGGCACCTCTCAAAACCAGTTCAAAAGCGTGATGAACGGAAAAGGCAGTTCAATCTCGACCATAGACGCATGGTATATACGTTATACTGACAACAATTCTACCTTCAGTCCCTTTCTTAAATGTTCTTATCAAACTGAGATAAACTAAAGTACATCCCAAAATAATATAAACTTAACGATTCCGTTTTCTCTTCAGTATATCTGTATATTTAGTGTCTAATGGAGGCTCATCGTCGATTCAACACACATCGGTGTATGTTACCACATCAAGAACATCAATCAACATCACGAGCATCGATCTACACAATTGGTTGGTTGGTTGGTGTTTAACGCCGCTATATTCCAGCTATATAGCGGCGGTCTGTAAATAATCGAGTCTGGACCAGACAATCCAGTGATTAACGGCATGATCATCGATCTACGCAAATGAGATATGATGACATGTGTCAACCAAGTCAGCGAGCCTGACCACCCGATCCCGTTAGTCGCCTCTTACAACAAGCATGGGTTACTGAAGACCAATTCTTACCCGGATCTTCACAGGTCAATGCTAAGGACACAGAACGTAATTCCACAATATGTAGTTAGAGCAGTGTAACGTTTCATTCCAGGAGTATGCCATTTGCAAACCGACTATTTTGAGAGTTAATGATGTTCCGTATTCTCTTGTAGAAATACTCACATAAGGAGGACAACTGTCCGCGCATCATGCGGATGTATTGTGCTGACTGACTTGAGGAAAGGTTGGGGCATTCGGCGATCACAGCATCAACGCAGACTTCGGCTGCAGCAGCATCACTACGGTGAAAACGGGAAAACTGCAACTCAACGAATTTCAACTCCACGTCTCAAATGAGTAGATTCAATGCTCTTTAACTGGACCACAAAACAAGAAAAACGACCAGAGGAGGGACAGGATATTCCCAGTCCTGGTTCTTGTTCATCTGTGCTAAGTTTCGTAAGAATGGTGACCCATGAAGGTCCAGGTTCGAATTGGCCTTCAGTAACCTATGCTTGTCGTAAGACGCGACTAACGGGATCAGGTGGTCAGGCTCGCTGACGTGGTTGACACATGTCATCGGTTCCCCGTTGCGCAGATCGATGCTCATGCTGTTGGTCACTGGAGATTCCGGTCCAGACTCGATTATTTTCAGACCGCCGATTTATTGTTTGATTGGTTTGTTTAACACCGCACTTAGTAATATCCCAGCTATATAACGGCGGTCTGTAAATAGTCGAGTCTGGACCTTACAGTCCAACGATCAACAGCATGAGCGTTCATCTTCGCAAATGGAATACGATGACATGTGTCAACCAAGTTGACACATTCGATCCCGTTAGTCGCCTCTTTCGACAAGGATTAGTCATAGTTAAAGCGTTCGCTCATCAAACCGAGACCCGGGTTCGATTCCCCACATGGGTACATTGTGCAAAGCCCATTTCTGGTGTTCCCCGCCGAGATATAGAATATTGCTAAAAACGGCGTAAAACCATACTCACTCATTCACTCACTCACTTTGGAATTCAAAACATTTAAAAACAAATAGTTACCCGAAAAGATATATTGACTGAATTTCGATATGCCAATCCAATGTCATTCAAACAATGTGTCTTACTACGAAACATGTGCAGATTGCAGTCTACAATTATGCTACTTCTAAATGGGTTTGTAAGTATTGTGAGTGAATGTTTTCACTGCATGCATCTGGCCCATGGCCATTGCCTGGCAATGGCAATAGCTTACGTGCAAAACTGTGTTATTTCATCAAGATCACCAGAAAATCCGCTCAGACTGGCCCCACATACAGCTATGTCCATCTCGCTGTTACAGTTATAGCCGAAGGCCAAATTGACTGAAAAGGAAATAGCATAAAGGTGATGTACATAGACACATATGATATGAAACAGTGGTCATATACTTCCAAACCTTACTAAACTCACTCACCCATTAAGTCACATTTCGCAAGAAATGATTTAATTAATTTATAATAATTTCTATGGCGCCTGTTATCCAACTCGAAGCTGTTAAACGGCCCATCACAAAGTCTACCCCAGATAACCAAGACGGCCTGTGGGGCACTAGAATTATTATTATTTATTATAATGAAATGCGATTTGTGGACGGGAAGAGCATTTGATGCATGGGAATTTTAGACCACTTGTGTAGTTTCATGTTCAATCAGACCAAGGACGTCCCAGTCAGGGGGGATGCAAATGCATTGATTCATACGAAGCAGGTTGTGAAAATATGTTCATATCAAGTATTTAATTTCCGTATCATGTTCAGTAACAACTTACTGTGTCGTACAAAATTAGTTAACATATTTATAGTGAAACACAATCAAGCAAATAATTACCCTTAATTCCCGACAGCCCAACCAGTCCTTTTTCTGTGTCGATGAGTGAGTGAGTGTGTATGGTTTTACACCGCTTTGAGCAATATTCCAGCAATATTACGGCAGGGGACACCAGAAATGGGCTTCACACATTGTACGCATATGAGAAATCGAACCCGGGTTTCGGTGTGATGAGCGAACGCTTAGACCAACAGGTTTACCCCATCACCCCTTGTCTCGATGATGCCGAACGCCAAAGCGTTTTGGTAAGACTGGGATCGAACCCTCGACGTTCCGCTGGCTCTTTGAGATATTAAATCGTTTCCTACATGGGTTTCTTGGGATCAGATCCTTCCACACAAATCTATAAAACCAAATAACAGTGAGCCATTTAGCTGGAATACTGCTGAGCGCGGCGTGAAACAATAAACAAACAACAGTTATGTGTTAAGTGAGTGAGTGAGTAAGGTTGTACGCCGCTTGTAGCAATATTCCAGCAATATCACGGCGGGGGGACACCAGGAATGGGCTTCACATATTGTACCTATCTGGGGAATCGAACCCGGGGCCTTCGGCGTGACGAGCCAACGCTTTAACCACTAGGCTACGCCACTGCCCCTTATGTGATAATAACAGATCTCGTTGTTTGGCCATACAATGAGATTAACAACGCCGTGAGATATGGCATACAATCAGATTAACACCATGCATCATACTTACCCACAGCAGAAATCACGATGATGATTTTGACGCCCATGATGCTGACGGGAGTGTTGTCACAGCTGGTGCTGACTTTGTAATGCGGTCTCCCGATAAACACCAAGCCTTATAGCTAAGTGCCTGCGAATTTCGTCATTTCCATACTCGCCTACAGTGACCTATAACTTTGACTGACATTTCTGGCAGGAAATTACCTCCGTAAATTACCCAAAATTAGTCACTTCCAACGGGTCAATTGCCGACTGGCTGTTCCTAATGTAAACGTACGAATTTCGTTGTAGCGTCGTGAGAATACAACAGTCCAGCTTATTTAGATTATATTTTGGGCTCTTCTGTTGGCATTGAAAACATCGGATATCTTAAGTGAGGGCACGAGACTGACATCAGTGCTTATCTGCAGACCCTTAAGGATCCGGGTTAGAATTGGTCTTCAGCAACCCATGATTGTCTACCCGTAAAGATCCGGGTTAGAATTGGTCTTCAGCAACCCATGACTGTCTACCCGTAAAGATCCGGGTTAGAATTGGTCCTCAGCAACCCATGCTTGTCGTCGTAAAGAGGCGACTAACGGGATCGGGTGGTCTCGCTCGCTGACTTGTTTGACACATGCCATCGTCTCCCAATTGCGCATATTGATGCTCATTGTGTCAATCACTGGATTGTCTGGTCCAGACTCGAATATTTACGAACCGCTGCTATATACCTAGGGTATTGCCGAGTGCGGCGTTTAACAACATACAAACAAAACTGCGTAGAAAACCCAATGGGGTGCGTTTCCAGAAGTGTTTTATTTCTCTGAGGTGAAACCCACATGCACTAAGTAGAAGGAAAAAATTTAACTGAAAAACTAAAACTTCGCGCCTTTCATTGAGGTCACAAGTGACCGGTTTCTGTAGCACAAGGTTTAGCATTGCGGAATGGGCTATGAGACAACACCCAGCACTGTGAGACAATACCCAGCTTTGCTTGAACGTAACTGTAACTTTTTCTAAGGGATCTTCCATACTGTTGTTACGTTGACCAGTTTTCCATAGATGAAAGTATCAATACCTATATTTTGTATACCCCGTGCAAGTCCATTCCCTGTCGTTTCAAGCTTGGCATAGTCATATTTTACATATGACTGGAAATACGTAAAATATGACATGATCACTTCATAATTACATATTAATCAACTGAACGTGATGTATTTCAAAACGAATACTCGTAAAATACACAGTCATTATCCTCTTCCACACATACTTCTAAATGTTTGAATGCTTTACGTGACAAAGTCGTTCGCTGCTCAGGCTGAGGGGGCTAGATTGCTGCCTTTGTGTGCTGGTATTTTGGTGTCTCACTCTTCCAGGATGGGTTTAAATCTCCGTGGACGGTGGGGTATCCCAATGGTTAAAGCGTTGGCTCGTCACACCGAAGACCAGGGTACGATTCCCCATAAGGGTACAATGTGCGAAGCCCATTTCTGGTGTCCCCCGCCGTGATGTTGCTGGGATATTGCTAAAAGAGGCGTAAAACCCAACTCACTCACTATGAAAACATTCAGTATAACTAGTAGTATACTCTCCCAAAAAGGAACGCATCATGAAAATAGCAATTTCATGTAGCAATGAATTAAAACGTGATTCATTTTGCAAAAGGTTTTGCTCTGTTTATGGTGTTTATGTTTTGAAACATCACAACAACACAGACCGTCAGGAACAGGTTGAGAGAGGCTGGTTTACGTGCCAGAAGACCTTATTTTGGCCCTGTGCTTCGACAAAAACATCGTCGACATCGAGTTCAATGGTGCACCAACGTTCAGGCCTGGAACCTACTGAATTGGCGTAGAATCTGGTTCAGTGATGAATCACGATTTCTATTGGAACGACGCGATGGAAGAATGCGGTTGTACAGACGTCGACGTGAACGTTTGACCGACGCTTGCGTTCCCCAGGTGGACAGATTCGGCCGGGGAAGTGTTATGATGTGGTGAACGATCACCTGCCGTAGGAGAAGTGATTTGGTGATGATCCAGGGCAACCTGACAGCTCAACGGTACTGTGACGAAATCCTACGCCCACACCTCCTTCCTATCATTGATCGCCGGAGGGAGTTGTTTCAACAGGACAATGCCAGGCCCCACACAGCACGTCACACTAGAGACTTCCTCCAGAACCACAACATCAATGTGCTCCCCTGGCCCTCAAGATCACCGGACTTAAACCCGATCGAACATCTGTGGGATGCCCTGGACAGACGGGTGCCACACCGTAACCCTCAGCCCCAGACATTTCAGCAACTCGCACAGGCACTACAGGCAGAGTGGGCTGCGATTGGGCAACACGAGATTCTGAGACTTATTCGTTTGATGCCGAGGCGATGCCGTGCAGTTCTGGATGCCCACGGTGGTCACACGAGGTATTGACTTCAGCGCCACCACACGTCTCCATGTGGCACTCAAACTGACTTTCCTCGAGTTGGTGCCAAAGACGGATAAGTCTGCATTCCCAGTGTGCAATTCCTCTATATTTCATTGACTCATAAAGCCTACAAGATGTTTCTAAAATAAACATAAAAATACAGCTGAAATTCCTATATGCGTTTCTTTTTTGGGCGAGTATAGGAGTATTACTGGAATATTGCTTAAAGCTGCGTAAAACTAAACTCAGTCACCCATTAAATCCCCGATGCTATGAAGAGCAATTAACCAAAAACTTATTCCACTTTTAAATGCATTATTTGTGAGAACTGTTATACATTTAGACTGACTGACTGAGTTTGGTTTTACGCCGCTTTTAGCAATATTCCAGCAACATCACGGCGGGGGCACCAGAAATGGGCTTCACACATTTTACCCATGTGGGGATTCGAACCCGTGTCTTCGTCGGCGTGACGTGCCAACGCTTTAACCACTAGGCTACCCCACCGCCCCTGTACATTTAGAATAGTGATGGGGCCGGTGGGGGTAGCCTAGTAACACCGAAGACCCGGGTTCGATTCCTCACTTTCGCAATATATATGAAACCCATTTCTGGTGTTCCCCGCCGTGATATTGTTGGAATATTGCTAAAAACTAACTAACTAAGGAACGAACGAACAAACGAACTAAAACGAACGAACGAACTCGGATATATGGTGATGAGTTTGCACTGTGAAACTGTTAGTCATATCTCATTGTAACCTGTAAATAGAACAATGGCCCTTATCGGAATAAAAACGGTGTCACTATGATTTAGACACGTTCAAAAGTAACTTCGTATTCAAGGCACTTCGACCTACAGTGTGTGTGTCTGAATAGATAAGTCTGGATTTATGCAAGTTTTTCAGTGCAAGCTCAAAGACATAGCATGCGGCGGTTTAACAATGATATCCAACTCGGACTCCTTATATACCACATCCGCACCGGACAGTTCTTGTTTCCGATATCAAGTCAGGGCAGCAACAAGTACCATCATCTCACATCACGTGACCAGGGCCTCGAACCGCCTTCTTCCTTCACGCACTTCAACTAAGGGGATCGGGTGGTCACCCTCGCTGACTTGGTTCATGCATGTCATTGTATCCCAGTTGCGCTGAGCGGTGCTCATGATGTCAATCACTGGATTGTCTTGTCCAGACTCGACTATTGCCAATGTGTCGTGATTTAATCTGCTAATTACTGAATGTGAAACGGAACAACTTCCAAAATGCCAATTGTACGTAACAAACACATTTGTGTTTACAACAATATCAGAACAAATAATTATTTCAGTCTGGTTAAAAACACTGGAATGTGCAGCAACACACTGACACATTTCACTGTATATTTTCAATTTTACCCCGACCATGCTCATGTACACATAATCCGTGAAGATCAGGGTTAGAATATTGATCGTCAGCAACCCATGCTTGTCGTAAGAGGCGACTAACGGGATCGGGTGGTCAGACTCGCTGACTTGGTTGACACATGTCATCGTATCCCAATTACTAAGATCGATGCTCATGTTGTTGATCACTGGATTGTCTGGTCCATACTCGTACATCTACAGACCGGCGGCGTTAAACAACAAACCACCTGCACATTATGAAAACCATTGCATGAAATTGGCGTGTTTGCACGAAATTCATGACATAGTGTGAATGGTATTATCATTTTCAAGCAAGTACATAAATAAATAAATAAACAAACAAACAAACAAATAACCAAAACAATAAAAAAGAACAAAGGAAAACAAAACAAACAACAAAACAAAACAAAACAAACAGAAATATAAACATGTCTCCTACTTTTAAATAGTATAACATCCTACCCATCTTTACACTTTACACTTTGAATTCTTTTTGCTTTAAAAAAGTCCCTGACTGACAATGGATACTACAGATTGGGCTGGCTTATGGATACGACAGGAAGAAGAAAATGTTTTTATTTATGTGTCACATGTTATATATAAAACATACACAGACTACAACAGAAAATAGTAAATAAAATATCACGGCTTTGTAAGCAACAATGGAGTGTGGTATATCTTTTTAATTACATGACTACAAACTGCGTTTGCGCATGGTTACGGAGAAGAAAGAGAGTGTTATTATTTGTATGTCACATATTATATATGACACAAACATAGATACCTCAAGACACTTAATATAAATATAGCATCTGGCCTATGAGACATAAGCCACTACATTCTACCTTAAACAGACAGTAGTGAATAGAATATCACAATTCTATAAGCAACAGTGGAGTGTGGTATATTTAATTACATGACTACAAAGTGCGTTTACGTCTATTAAACGTTTTAGTAACTAAAGCCGCTAAGGGTTTTATTAATTTGCATAGCATAACATATATGCAGCCTGGTCAGAAGGTGACAAGAGAGAAAAAGGGTTAATATTTAATACATTTTCCCACAAGTCATATCGTAAATCCGAATATAGTGGACAGCTGACCAAAAAATGAGCTTCGTCCTCAATCGTATAGCAATGACAACACTTACAAATTCTATCGTCTAAAGGTGTTTTAGGGCGTGTAAATCTACCGACCTCTATTTCCAGAGGAGGTAGGTGCCACATCGTAACATGCTAAGCATACTGCGATGAGATCTAGGCAGAAGTTCAGTGACCTATGGCTCAGCTGTTAATAGTTTCTTAAACTTTCTGTA